CGATGGTGACACTACGACAGTACGCTGGTGACACTACGACAGTACGATGGTGACAGTACGACAGTACGATGGTGACACTACGACAGTACGATGGACTATCACCATCGTACTGTCGTGCATCGCCATCGTACTGTCACCATCGTATTGTCGTACTGTCACCATCGTACTGTCATGCTTCGCGTTTCCCGTCCTCAGATAAAACGCGATGGCCCTAACAGTACACCGTACGAAGGACAATTCATGTTTGTTTATAGGGGAGTAAGACTCTCGATTCATATATCAAGGAATAGGGGTTGGAATTGATGTCCTCGGAGTAAAGTAGCTTAAATATCATTGAATAGCTGCAGTTGATAAGCTGGGCATATCAAATTTGTGTTAGTTCATCGCTAAATTTATTGAACTTGCTGGAGAAAATAATATTATACTTCCAATATATTATACAAAATATTTCGAGCTATGTCTTAGGAATCAACTTACAAATATGAATATACATAACAGAGAAATAAACAATATGGAATTAAACATTGCCAAACATTGCTATAATTTTGAAAGGCATCAACAAGATGATTCCAATTCCCTAAAACAGTTTCACCTTTTCTCCAAGACGCCAGAGTTTATGACAACAATAGTCAACTCAGTGAGAAGAAAACTAGGAATGAGCAGTGTCGGACCGTATTTGGTACAAAAACGAATATGGTACAAATTTGTACCATATTCGGCCGAATATGGTACAACTGTCTAATTGTACCATATACGTATCTGCAGTTTTGGGGTAAAATGCCGGACCAAATATGGTACAAACTTGTACCATATTCGGATAAAAAATGTACCACATTCGTTCCGAATATGGTACACACTCATCATCGTCATCATCATCATCATCATCATCGTTATCTCATCATCATCACCATCATTATCATCATTATCATAATCATCATCATCATCATTCATCATCATCATCATCATCATCATCATCATCATCATCATCATCATCACCATCATCATCACCATCATCATCATCATCATCATCATCATCATCATCATCATCATCATCATCATAACTACAATTTGCATCAACGTCATCAATACCATCATGAAAATAATCATCATCGTCATCTCATCATCATCATCATCATCATCACCATCATCATCGTCATCGTCATCATCATCATCGTCATCATCATCATCATCATCATCATCATCATAACTACAATTTGCATCAACGTCATCAATACCATCATGAAAATAATCATCATCGTCATCATCATCATCATCATCAGCATCATCATCATCATCATAATCATCATCATCATCGGCGGCCGGTAATCATTGGCGTCAACATAATAAAAAACTTTTTTCATCATCATCATTATAATCATTATCATCGGCCGATAAACATCGCAGTTATCATCATCACAATCATCAAACCCCAATCATCATCACCATTGTCATCATCATCAATTACATCATCATCGTCACCATTAACACCATCATCATCATCGTCACCATTAACGCCATTATCATCATCATCGTCATGATGATGACAAAAGTTTTGATGATGATGACGACGATTAAAATTACCGTCATCATCATCATCACAAACTTTTATCATCATTGTCATCATCATCACCATCATTATCACCACAATCATCAAGGTCATCATCATCATCAACATCATCATCATCATCACCATTATCATCATCGTAATGAAGATCACAAAAATGTGATGATGATAACTGCGATGTTTTTCGGTCGATGGTGATGATGATGACAAAAGTTTTGTAATGATGATAACGACGGTCAGCACATCATCATCATCATAATCTACCGATAAAAATCGCCGTCAGCATCATCAAAACACATTTGTCATCATAATCATCATCATTATAATAATCATCATCGACCGATAAACATCGCTGTCATAATCATCAAAATACGTTTGTTATCATCATCATCATCATCGTCATCATCATCACATCAATTATCAACACCCCAATGATCATCATCGTTGTTATCTTCACCAACACCACCATCATCATCACCATCAAAACCAACATCATCATATCCATTATCATGATCGTAATGGTGATCACAAAAGTTTTTTTTTGTGATGATAATGACAGCGATGTTTTCGGTCGATAATGAGGATGTTGTGATGATGATGACGACGATGAGAATATCATCATCATCATCGGCCAATAAACATCGCCATCATCATCATCACAAATATTTTGTTATCATCATCATCATTATCATCATCGTTGGCCGATAAACATAGCCGTCATCATCATCTAAAATCTTATCATCATCATTATAACCATCATCATCGTCCGATAAACATCGCTGTCATCATCATCCCAAAACGTTTGTTATCATCATCATCATCATCATTATCATCATCATCATCACCACAATCATCAAACCCCAATCATCATAACCACTGTCATCATCATCACCACCACCATCATCATCACAATTTTTTTACCATCATCATCATCACAAATGTTTTGTCATCATCATCATCACATATTCATTTTACATTTTGTATTTTATAATTTGTTTCATTCAAGAGATTCAACAAACTTGTACTTTTTTCATTTATTGGTATACTGACAGGATTTTTCAAAGTAATATTGAAGAACATAGAACAGCATTTAAATTTTAATCCAACTGTAGCATTTTGACCAGACATAATATACATATATACATTCATTTTAGTAGCAGCCAAAATATCCCAAATGTGCTTCGTAAAAAGTTACCATTAAATGAGAACCCAGGCCGCCTGCGTGCCAATCTGACGCGCAACCGACTGAGCTAGCCGGCGAAACAGTTACACAACCAGCAAAATCCATGTAAAGTGTGGTTAGGTTAGCTGTTTCTGTTACTGCTAGTTACGACGACGACGACGACGACGACGACGACGACGACGACGATGACGATGATGATGATGATGATGATGATGATGGTGATGATACTTTTGTCACTTCCAATATTAGGTTAATACAATGTATTTGAGTTTGAAAAAAAGTTTACACATCGGCAGACTATTTCATTTATTAAGAAATACATAATTTATGTACCATATACGTAGGCCATTTTCATTTTATGAGTTTTTTTGGTATGTACCAAATACGTTTTGGCGAGCATAGAAAAACTTATTCCAACCGAATATGGTACAATGTTTGTACCATATTCGGTCGAAAATTGTACCATATTCGGTCCGAATATGGTACATTTGTACCATATTCGACCGAATATGGTACATTTGTACCATATTCGTTTTTGTACCAAATACGGTCCAACAGAGCAGCAACCTAGCAGCAGGTTGGCATTTTCTTGACTTTCTTTATTATTATCTTCATTACCTTAAATATGTAGTATCATATACATATGTGTGAACGCGACCATTATGGTAAAAATTATTTGCAAATAATTTTTTGAAACTTATTGTATCTCATTGAAATTTAAGAATACGCATCGACAGTGACATTTTAATATTGCCTTTTTTCTAACCGGTTATTATGAAAATATTCAGATATGTAAATTAAGTCTTAATGTGTTTCACTTTTAATTTTTACCAAGCTGATCTTTATTTGGTAAATGAATGGTGTGCATATGGGACATATATTTTAAACGACATGACCTGGTGTCAGCTTCTATCAGACCAGGACAGAGATGTTCTTGAATATGGACAAGACATCATTGTATAAATTTTTTTATATCTATATGATAAATTGAGGTATATCCACACGTTTTTTAATGAGTTACAAAGGGTAGATATCTATGAATGAAGACAACACGTGAAGTTAGTTGGTTAAGTTTAGTTATTTTTCTGACCATTGTCTTCCACTGAGTACAATCTATTTTTGTGTCCTACATGGTGGGCATTCTTCTAGTAGTTCGGATCTTTGTATAACAAATGTATCAAAAAATTAAATATTTTAAAACTTTATTATGTAAATGAAATTATTCTTTTTTATGATTTAAATAGAGTGCGGTCATGCATGCCTTATTCGATCTACGCTTTGTCGTTAACAATGTGTTCCAGATACAATGATTACTTTTTTTATTGGTTCCTTTTCCTTTTTTTATCCACATTACTTTTGAGTGTAAATATTTTGTATTCTTAAATAATCAATTATGATTATGTATGTTAATTGTCTTCGGTTGTCATTCTTTAAGCGTATTTTTGTGTTGCATTTTAATGAACAATAAAACCTCACTCTTAGCCCCACCAAGACATTGTAAATAAAATAAATCCCCGCCAATCGAAATTCTAACAGCTATAATTGTTATGATAAGGAAAGGTGAAATAAGTTAAACACAGAAATGATCATGTAGATACATATTAATGTTAACCCAATGACCATAACAAAGGTACTCAATGTAGAGCAACAAGAAAATCACCTACAAGAGCCCGACAAAGCAAGATAGAAGAAAAACATTAAGACAATTCAGTCCCAAAGAGCTTGAAGAACTGTCCATCATAGTGTCTCCCACTTGGTCCGTCAGATGTTTATCAAAAGAAGAAAGCGAGGTGTCCAACTGTGAAAGGGTTGAACACAAAGCATGCAGTATATGTCCACGGATTTACATTACATTTGTAATATAAATCCGTGATATGTCTTAAAACAATAGCTAGGGTTACTATCTCTTCTAATAAAACGTTTAATGATTTTAGTATTCCCTTGTCGCAGAAGGTGTTTTTAAATCACTATATTGAATTTTCAAATTAAATTAAAAAACTACTTTTGTAAAATACAGTTGACTCTCGGTAACTCGAAATCCAGGGGACTGTGCATTTTACTTCGAGAGAAACGGAGTTCGAGTAACGTGGATCTGCCGCCATTACGTTGATATTCGTACATGTATATACATGTGCCTGATTGAAAATGTAAAGACGTAGGTTTGTTATTGTTGATAGCGGCAATGCTGCAATATTTAACTGTTGAAATGACGGTAAATCACTTACATCTACAAATTATAAATGAACAAAAATATATTATTCAAAATTTAATACATGTATATTAATAGTGAAACATAAAACATTCGTGGCAATGATATAAATGCAAAGTTGTCAGTATTCATCATTAAAGCACATGTTTTTAATAAGCACTTATGACAATTCATTACAATAAAAGCATAATAACACATTTATTTCAACAACAATTTATCTAATATTTGAAGTGAATTGATCATCGGGCGAAAACGAAAGTAGCAACTATCGTGAACCAGAGGTACATATTAATGTATGCAATATGACAGAACATTGATTATACAAATGTCATTTACGTTGAAAACACACAATTAAGTCCTGAAACCGATTACAGCCACTTTTAAAATCAAAATGTATTGTAAAATATTTCCGTATTTTTTTATTCAGCTCGTTGAAATCTATACGTTTCTACAAGCTCTAGCGAATCTAATTAACTGAGAAACATATACATATACCCCGTAAGATGTTACATGGGGTACGTCTCCATCTAAATGTGGTTAATTAATTATACAAAAATCAAATTCATCTCTTTCATGATATATTTTTGGGTGAATAGACAGTAATATGAAGATCCAAAAATGATGTACTAAAATTTCAAAAGATCGTTTTATTAAGTTGTTGCTCATGGGGATAGATATCTTGTTACTTCTTTTTAAAGAATGTATGCAGTATGAATAATATTACCATAATGTCATTATATATATTTTAAATTTAGGTGAATTAAAGTGAAATTGATATAACTGATATGAATGTCATTATTATATGATACAAAAAGTATATCAAAGAATATTGTAAAAGTATATATTAGAAATACTGTCAATACCGGACTGTATAATAATTCTTAATATAAATTTACAATAATCTTAAAATCAGAGCCATTAAATGGACGAATATAAGACTAACGCCAAGACTGGAAGCTCCGCACGTGCCATCGTCACAGTCATCATCATCATCACAGAAAGCTTTAATGTCACATTTGTCGATGAGGTCACTGTAATATTGGCGCACCGTGTCGTATAAACAAGTGTCAGCTTTACAGGCAGGAATACTGATCGGCTGTTCATTCACAAACATCTTGAGCATAAACGACCTATCAGTTGTTATGGTACTATTCGAGTTGGTACTGTTCGAGTCGTCACAAACGTACAATACGAAAGCGAGATTTGCGGAATATGGACATATTTTGCTAGTTTGAAATTTTCTGTTCACTAAGGCTTCCATATTTGACAACAGAAGATCTACGTCGTCTTTGAAGATTTCGAGTGACGTCATTAACGGGATCAAAGTATCTGAGTGTCCGTTATAAAATTTACCGGCAAGATATCTGTAAATAAAACCATAAATCTTAAATAAGAAATTTGTCCTCTTATAGATAAATAAACACTATAGATTAAACGATTACAGCAGTTGAAAAATATCTGCACGACTGCATTAATCATAATATTTGACCATTTTACATTCTGAAAAGTGAAACAGCCTAAACTTACCCATTGCTGGATACATCACGCATGTTATTATAATCCCATTCCTGGTTGATAGCTTTATCCATGGTGTGAAACATATCACCCAGAAGTGGACACGATATCTTGCTGCTTATCCGGTTACCATAAGATGACTCAAAATATTTCTGTAAAAAAATATTCACAATAATAAAACATATATTTAAGTGCGGTCTTGTTTTTGCCACCATTGTCTCGCGCTTTTGACATCGTGCGACAGCTGATTTCAGACATCTTATTTAAACTTCTTATAATATTTTTAAAAATATTCTTTTTTCTTAGCCATGTGTACAAACAAGTTAAACTATTTTCATGTTTTAATGTTGAATTCTGATTAATTAAGTCGGTGTTAGGAGCGTAAACGGTAGCTTGCAAATATCACTGCTGTCCTTGGCAATTATCAAGAAACCTTTCATGTGACTTTTTCGTGCCATTCAATGAAAAGCGGCGTATGGTGCACAAGCAAAAGACTGATTAGGCCCCGAACGAGGAAACAATTGAAAGAACACAATAAAATAGAATTTTGACAGTGAGACAGAGGTTATGAAGCCTGTCTGTCACAGACAGATGTCAGGAGACAAATTACAAAAGCAGACGACATAAAGGTTAAACGGCAAAACTGAAAATATTGCAGTTTCGGTTTGATGATGGTAGTTAGAACCGACAATGTATAAATCTAAATTTATTGTGTAATCGTTCTGTATCGGTGACAACATAAATTGCCTGCTTTATTCCTTATTATTTCAGACTTGTTATCATTATAGACATATGACTTAATTTTGTGCCGATAGAATAAAAGGAAATAAAAATCTTCATATGCATGCTGGACTAAGTAAATATAGGAATTTATCTTAATACATTTACTTTATTTAGCACCATCATTGTATTTTCAACCTTTTTATCATGAATATCCTTTTCCCAGATTATAAAATTGTGTTACCATTGTAAGTCTGTATAATACTAATACGTGTTTGATACCAAACAAATGCATTGTATTTGTTATTGTCTCTAAATTGTTATTCAGAAAACAACAATAGTAAATCAGGTTAAAAAATAATAAAACCGAAAAAATTATTGGTTAAATAAACATCTTTAAATTTTACTAACAAAATATATGAAACCGAATACAAACTTCAATATCATTTCTGAATTCAAGGAAGATTCTTTCGTTGTCTGTAAGAAGCTCGCACCAAACAGATTCTTCGTTAAATATTGCTTTCTCGTGGGCACATAATTCATTTATCAATATAATTTCATCTGAAAAAAAAAATCAATTATTTACAATGCTATAGATAATTATGCTATATAAACATTAATTGCTTATTGGATGAATGTATTAGCGGACGATGTTGTTTGGTCTAAATATGATTTGGTATGTAGAAATAAAACTGCAATGGTTTCCAACATTTCCCCTGGATTTCAAATATCTTACGTGTGGTCTCAGAAGAAAATATAATAAAATACAAAAGATGCTTGATCATACCTACATCTTGATTTGCAACAATATTAATATCTTTATAAATATTTTTAAAAAAACCACATTTTAATCAAATATTACAGTGACTATCAACGAAAGAAATCAACGTTTATTACCATATATACATGTACGTTTTGTAGGCCAAAATTTTAAGTTCTTACCAGAACTGTTCACTCGTAAAATGCTATGATGGTAGAACTTTTATTTGTTTACTAATGATAGACACTTATACTTCTAATAAACTTATACGTGCAAAAATGTGAAATATTGATTTCTTAAAATCATTAATTATTACTATCTGAAATCATTTCTTTAACATAAAAGTACAAATAAATGCGGATATAACTAACCTTCTGATGGATTGAAAGATATGCCAAGTTTTTCCTTTAATGAGGCAGTTATGTTCGCGAAAATCAGAGATTTGGAAAACTCGATTAATTCTTCTATGTTGTCATCGCTTTCCATTGATTCCTCGTAATTATCACATTCATCAAAGAACCTCATCAATGCATCGTTGACTTCATTGGAATATTCTGCCAAGGTCGATATATTTGTTAAAAGTCCCTTATGAAAGAAGACGTTGCTGTTTTTTGTTCTGGATTTGCTAGATGAAACATACTTTATATATTGCCCGTTATTTTCGAACAATGTCTTCAGCCGTAAGCCTAACCGAGCGCCCAATTCTTGTTGTTCCTTTTGACCTTCAACGGTCAGTTGTTTTTCATTAGACTCCTCATATCTAGGTATCCATGAATCGAGCGCCGGGTAAACGTTTGATTGTTTAGATTCAATAATACGTTCGTGAATTTCTTTGATATCTTCCATATCGTCCTCTGATGGCCATCTGGCGCCATGTCTGGTTACCATGTTAACATGTACTGCTTTACACATTTTGGAACCATCGGTGAACGTAAAGTATTCATCTATATTAGCTGTCGTAGAATGAGCCCATTCATATTTCGTTTTAGTTGAAAAAACATCCCATCGACTAATTCCATAACAGTTCAATATCAAACTTAAAATTGAAACAAACGACAACCAAGAAAAAGCCATTGTTGTGTTCACCACGTCTTACGTCCAAATGACAAGCTAAACAAACGTAAATGTTTCAGCGCTTAACTAAATGAGTTACTTCAAGCCCGATGGATATATTCTTAACGCTGTGTCATTTACATTTTTGTGGAAATAAATAAAAAGATGTAAAACTGCTGAAGCGTATATGGGTCATTTTATTTACATCTTCTTTTCGAAACCTCTTTCCCTGTCATTATCAACGTCGGAAAAAACACAACAAATATGAATTTTAAACATTTCAAGATTGCTGTGAAAAAGTCAATGAACAAAAATGTCAAAAAAGGTAAAAAAAAGTTGAAATTACAATAGTCAAAGATGAAAACTCGGAAAATGTCAAATTTAACATGGGCACAGTCAGGCATAGAGTTTGAAAACTATGGATAAAAATGGTAAAGTTAAGAAAGTAACTAATATTTAAAATTTTGAGACTCAAGTTGACAACCATTTAAGCATCTTAACGCCTAAATTTGCTTTGGTACATAGCTTTGATATTCAAGGTCGAACGACCTCGGTAAAATATAGTTGTTATACAAACACACAGAAACATGTTAAAGATATGTTAAAGATGTGTTAAACATATGGTATCAATGTTTTCTGTAATGTATATTCTTATAAGATTCAATTTGAATGTTGCAATGCTTTAGTAAAGTTTTATAGTTTCAATTGATCTACACTGATGATATAAAGCTGACCTAACAAATGGATTGACATCAATTACTTTTTTTCTGACACGAATCGCTTAAGTTGTAAAACGTATTTTCGTGGACTGGACATGTACAGTTAAAGAGTACATAATAGTTATGCATGAAAACATACAAGGTGTCTTAGCCTTTTTGACACATACATTAATTAAACACCTATTATGGTTTGTGAGGTAGACAGAACAGTTGCTTGTTTACTTGTTCCGTATACGGAATGTGTTTTTGTCATGTTTCGCACAATGTTAAATTGTTATGTCGTCACATGTGTATTCATAATATTTCACAAAATATAACATCAAATATAACATCAAAATACCACAGTTCATAAGTAAAAATACTTACACATCTTGAATTGGGAATACAAAAAACGAGAACTTTATATACTTCAACAGTTACAGACAAAAATATTTGTTTTTAACTTTTCCAAAGGAAACGTGTGCTTTTATTTTGCTTCATAGCCTGGATGTATATATTTTCCTTTTGCTTCTCTTAATCATTGATGAAATCCAATTAATAATCTTATACTTTTTCAACTGATTTACTTCTTCATTAAAATGCATCATGTTGAACTGTTTTATTTTTATATAGGTGCCTGTTTTGGAAGTAATTGCATTTACAAAGTATTGCAGTTATAATGACAGTACCTTTAGATCAATTATTGATTTGGTTAATTAACAAGTGCCGGCCACTGCCAGTCGGGAGCAACGCTTGACTATTTCACTTTTTCTAAAAGCAAACAAACCAAAAACTGTTTAAACAAATCTTTAAAAAGGAAATTAAAGAAAAAAGTTTTCCTTTTTATTTTAACAGGTCCTGTCTAGTCGCACTTGTTATTTTGTCCAAGTTTGAATCATTTCCATAAATATATGACAAAGTTAAGATAATATATGCAAAATTCAATCATCTGACATTGACGGTCAATGTCTTTTAAAGGCCAAGGTCGTATCTAAATTATTCAACATATTTGTTTGGTCAGAAGTGCTGTTTTGTCGTTGTATAAACCAAATCCAAGTCAAGGTAAGTTCAACCTTTTAGAAGGTCTTGTCAAAAAGGTTGTTTTGTCCAAGTATAAATATAATCCATTATAATTACCTAGTTACAGCCAATTATAGCAATAATGAATGAAAATCCAGAATTTGACATTTAAGGTCAATGTCAAGTCAATTTGAGTTTGATATACATGAAGGCCCTGACTTAAAAGATGTTGTGCCTAAATATGAAATTAATTCATTCATTAATAACAATTAAAGATATAGCCAGTAACAGGTAAAACAGGAGAATTTTATTAATTTTACCTTAATGCTCTATGTCAATTAAAGGTCAACGTCATATCTAAGCCGTTAGGCCCCGTCTACACCTATCCAAGTCTTGAATGCAAGTTTCATATTCACACCCTACTTGACACATTGTTCTTATAGAGAAATTATGTGATATCCATGAAGATAATTGACATTACGCCAGAGAAGAGATTGCTCCGCCCACTGATTCACGTGACCCGGTCATTAAGAACCTTAGACAAAATACGGTACCGACGTTTACAGGAAACTATTATGCCACTAAAGTGACTAATGAATTTACCTTATACAAATTGATATATATAAAATTTTAATGCTTTTCTTGGATTGTTCAATATATTATGGTATTTAAAAAAGCAACAAATAACTGAATTCATGCATTAATTATGAATAAAACGTTTGGCAAAGATCTTGTAATATTTCTCGTTTACTTCAAGGAAGATGTTTCTGACAAAATATCATTTTAGTTTACAAATTCAAAGATGGTTAAAATAGAAGTAGCGGAACATGTAAACAGTAAAATGATATCAATAACACAGTAAGATTTACAAATGTTTTTAGGGTTTATGTGCGAAATCACGTATATATAATGCATTTATGCATAAATTATTAAAATTGAATTAGAAAATTGCCCTTGCGTAACTTTGTAGTATGATATATGATATATGATATCTGTACATTAGATATTTTTCGTGATAAAACCCAATATTATTCACTTCAAAGTATAAGTTTCGCATACACCAGACGGGGTGAGACCTCGGTTTTAAATTAAAACCGTGATCAGGACACCATATTATAAAGGAACAAAAAATGTCATTATCAGACCTTAATAAATATAATGTAGTATGTGATTATGAATAGACATAATTGTAATAAAGGAAGGAATAGAGTATTTGTTTAAACTTTTTCCTTGTTTAATGCATTGTGGTATAGCCAGGCTTCATAACCTCTGATCCCCATTCAAAATTCCATTTTATCTAGTTACGCCTATTGTTTTTTCGTTTAGGGCAAACGCATTTTTTTGCCTGCAACATTCTCAATTTTGTCGTTTTGTACGTTCTTTAGAGACTCTTTCTCTATTTTAACTTTCGTCAGAGATGTAGATAACATCTAGATATGTCTCTGCTTTTGTACCTGCTATATAACTTAATATCTTCATATATAGAAAATGACTGATATTGTTTTGTAAAATGAACTAACTGACTCCATCTGTCAATATATGTCAGTATAGTTGGTAACTTTGATATACCGACTTTATAGCTTTAAAATGACAAATAATCAAAATAATTCTAATAAAAATACTGCTGCACCATTGTCCTACTACAATTAAATAGCGTGTCTAAGAAAATTGGCGGATTTTGCAGACATTTTAGCGTGAAACTGATAACATCGCCGACAGGCTTATCTGTAAGACCCCTGCCAGCTTGATTGACAGGCGGCGTAATGTCAATTTCCTTGCAAGAAAATTAGAACACGTTCTTTTTTTCCTACAAGTTTTTGGCTGTCAAGACCAAAGGGACCCGGCACAGTGTTTGGATAGTGTAAAAAAAGTAATTCTAGAAAAAAAAAGTTTATATGTAATATATAGACTATATATTATATATAAACTATATATATTTTTCTAGAATTACGTTTTTACACTATCCCAACACTGCGCCAGATCCCTTTGGTCAAGACACTGATAACACCAGTTTGACACAAAATATGTGCCCCGAAGGTGTGATCGCAGATAGTGCTGTTATTTTTATCGTTTTATGAGTAAATGTTTACAATGTCTTGGAAAGAAACAAATCGATACACTGATACAAAGAAAAAGAAAGCTGTTTTTCAAAAGTAGAATCAAAATGGATTTTAAACAATCGATTAACTTTCATCAAATAAAGAATTTGTATCAATTTATAAGATCAAAATATATTTTTTCTCACATTTTCCATTTATTTTAAAAAGAATGTTTACATTTCATCAACTCCATTGTTTTTAGCATATTGCATCATTTTGCCCGCTTTTTTATTCACATATTTTACAGAAACATGATAGTATTGCAAAGACAAAGGTATAATTCCTGGGTAAACTTAACTAGAACTGCCACTGTCATGGCGTGAATACCCTCGCATACCACTTTGTCAGAATCAACAGTGGCCATTTAGAGCTCAAGGACAACCTCCCAGCAAAATCTGAGGTTACTAAGTCAGTGCATTGCAAAGTTATGTATTCTACATGCTTCAAATGTGAAAATCAATACACTGCGGACAGGCATTCTAAAGCATTTGAGCAGACAAGTTTATTATAGTTAAATCCATAATTATGACCTTGACCTTTGACACAGTCACCTAAAATCAAAACGGGTCATCTACTAGTCATAAACAACCTCAATAACAAATATGAAGACTGTTGACCAAAGCATTTTTAAGCAATTGAACGGACAAGCCTTTTTTAGTCAAGGCCCCTGTGACCTTGACCTTTGACCCAGGGACTTCAAAATCAATAGGGGTCACCTAATGGTCATGATCAACCTCCATGCCAAATATAAAGACTGTGGGTCAAAGGAATCTTAAGTTATTGGGTGGATAAGCTTTATGAAGTCAATGCCCCTGTGACCTTGACCTTTGACCCAGTGACCTCATAATCAATAGGGGTCACCTACTAATCATGACTTCCATGCAAAATATGAAGACTTCTGGTCAAAGGAATCTTAAGTTATTGGGTGACAAGGTTTTTTAAGTCAAGGCCCCTGTGACCTTTACCTTTGACCCAATGACCTCAAATCAAAACGGGTCATCTCTTAATCATGGCTAACTTCCATGCCAAATATGAAAACTGTGGGTCAAAGGAATCTTAAGTTATTGGGCGGACAAGCTTTTTGAAGTCAAGGCCCCTGTGACCTTGACCTTTGACCCAGTGACCTCAAAATCAATAGGAATCATCTACTATTCATGACCAATCTAAATACCAAATATGAAGACTGTGGATCAAAGGAATCTTAAGTTATTTTGCGAACAAGGAAAAACAGCCGGACAGGGAGATGGCCGGACTTACTTACAAAATGGTACTTATATGTGACTTTTCCTTTGATCTTTTCAGCCATTTTTAGTCACGCAAGGTCTAAAAAAGACACACAAGTAAAAACGAAATGAATAGGATCAAAGAAAATGTACCGTTACCCATTGTTACCCACAAGTCACACAAAATCCTCTGGGTTTGTACGGACTGACAAGCTGATTCCAATATACCCCCCTTACAACTTCGTTGTGCGGGGGTATAATTAATAAGACATTTCAGTAAAAACTGTGCCTGATTATAAGTTGAAAGGGCCAATTATTTAGCTTATCTAAATGTGACATGTAAGAAACTTGACTAGGTGTAGACGCAGCCTTCGTTTCATAGCAAGTCTTATTTGGCCATGTAAAAATCAAATCCGTACATAAATAACAAAATTATTTTAAATAAACGAAAATTCAATAATTTGACCATGACAGTCAAGATCATATAAAGCTCAAGGTCAGTTCAACCTTTTCTCACATACCCGTGCCGATTTTGCGACTACGTAAAAATTGTATTGCAGGGACGTGTATATATTTTAACGTCACTAATTTAACTTATATAAACATAGCATTGATAAAAAATGTTTCTTTATCACTTCAAACGGTCTTTATTTTTTGGTATGTGATAATTATAATTTTAAATTTGTGTAAAATCATCACTAAATTTATTGAACTTGTTGAAGAAAATAATATTATACTTCCAAGAAGCTCGCATAATGTAATTTTATGCAACTCGTTCAATAATTTCAGTATTTAACTTACACTCATTCAATATCCTCTATTTAGAAGGTCTTGTCAAAAAGGTTGTTTTGTCATAGATAATAGTATGAAGATAATCCATCAATAAATTACTAGGTTACAGTCAATTATAGCATAAATCAGTAAAAATCCAATTATCTAACCTTCAAGGTCAAGGTCATAAATCAGCCCGTGTCAATTTGAGTTTGATATAGATGAAGGTCGTATACTAAAGAATAGTGTATCTTAATATGAAGTTAATCCATTCATTAATAACAAAGTTATAACAAGTTACAGTGAAAACAATAAAACTTCAAATATTTTAACCTTCAAGGTTAAGGTCATTTATTTGTGGAGGTCATGGTATGTCTAGTTTACTTGAAGGTCTATCCTTAAAGATTGGTGTGTTCAAGTTTGTATACAATCCAATTTATTGCCACTTATACCAAAAATCAAGCAAAATTTAGACATTTGGCCATGAAGGTCAAGGTAATTTATACATAAAGTAAAGTTAAGTCTAGTCTTCTTGAAGGCCTTGTTCCAAGGGTTGTTGTGGCCAAGTATGAAGACACACTGGCATCAGAGCTTAAAGTTGCTGTCAGTTAATTATTTTGGTGATATAAATATATATGCTCCAGTTTGTTGATACAAAATAATATAATCATCAAAAACTACACTTTTGCTATAAGTCCCTTTCTATAAATTATGTCTATCTCACCTGAGTCAAAATACTTGTTAATTTAGGATTTTGTTTTTCTTTTTACTATATGCATATAAGGACTCCAGACGGGCAAATTTTGACCATAGGGCTTTTTTTAAACAAATTGATAGACAACCACTAGAAGATGTTTCATGCTAAATATCTGAGCTTTAGCTCTTTGTGGTTTTTTTTTAAAAGAAGCCTTCTTTTTATGCCCCCGCCACATAATGGCTGCATAATGGCTGGGGCATATAGTGTTACCCTGTTCCATCATTCCGTCCTTCTGTCATTCCGTCATCATCAGTTTCCGTTCATTATCCAAATAACAGTTGCATATATTCAACTCAAATTTGGCATATGGATATGTCATGACAAAATACAGGTCAAGTTCGAATTTGGTCATGGTTCGATGATTTTTGGCAGAGTTATGCCCCTTTCACTTTGAAAATAATATGAAATTTTCAGTTCCGTTCATTATCTCCCCAACGTTATTACACATTCAACTCAAACTTGACAAATGGATATGTCATGAGAAAATACAGGTCAAGTTCGACATTGGTCATGGTTCGATGATTCTTGGCAGAGTTATGCCCCTTTTACTTTGAAAACAATATGAAATTTTCAGTTTCCACTAATTATCTCTCCAACGATATTACACATTCAACTCAAACTTGACATATGGATATGTAATTAGAAAATACAGGTCAAGTTTGAATTTGGTCATGGTTATATGATTTTTGTCAGAGTTATGCCCCTTTTACTTTGAAAATCATTTGAAATTTTCAGTTTCCACTAATTATCTCCCCAACGATATTACACATTCAACTCAAACTTGACATATGGATATGTAATTAGAAAATACAGGTCAAGTTTGAATTTGGTCATGGTTCGATGATTCTTGGCAGAGTTATGCCCCTTTTACTTTGAAAACAATATGAAATTTTCAGTTTCCGTTCATTATCTCCCCAAAGGTGTTACACATTCAACTCAAACTTGACATATGGATATGTAATTAGAAAATACAGGTCAAGTTTGAATTTGGTCATGGTTCTATGATTTTTGGCAGAGTTATGCCCCTTTTACTTTGAAAATCATTTGAAATTTTCAGTTTCCACTAATTATCTCCCCAACAGTATTACACATTCAACTCAAACTTGACATATTGATATGTCAAAGGAATGCGCAGGTCAAGTTGGAATTTGGTCATGGATCCATGATTTTTGGCATAGTTATGCCCCTTTAACTTTGAAAAAAGAGAAATTTTCAGTTCACATTCATTATCTCCCCAACAGTTGTACATATTCAACAACAAATTAAAGATATGGATATGTCATAAAAATGCATTGGTCAAGATGGAATTGGTCATGGTTTGATGATAGCTGACAGAGTTATCCCTCTTGAACTTTGGAAAAAAATCAGAAATTTTAAGTTTCTGATCATTATCTCCCCAATGGTTGTACACATTCAACTCAAATTTCACATATAGATACATCTTAGGAATAAGCAGTTCAAGTTTGAATTTGGTTGCGGTTCAATGATTTTGGACAAAGTTATTTTTCTTGAATGTTGGAAAAATTTTGAATTTTCAGTTTCAGCACTCATACTTTTGTGGAAATGTATGTACCCATTATTTTGGCTACAAATATGCATCATATGCAATTTACAAAAGGTTAACACTGAATAGTTTCAGTGCCTTGAACTTTGTATAAAAATGGTTTGTGTTAACATTGAATAGTTTTAAGGGCTTTTAACTTAAAATGAAAAAAATAATTTGTGCAAACAAATTTGGAACTAAATATTATAACATCTGAAATTTTGGTTGCATGCTGGGGCATCCGTGGCATGACGACACATTTCTAGTTACTATATACATCTAAGGAAAATCAATATCCCCCCATGGCTGGGCCAATTTTGACCCCAGGGCTTTTATTTGAACAAACTTAATAGACACCCATTAAATGGGTGTCTATTAAGTTTGTTCAAGGCATTAGAAGATGTTTCATGCTTAATATCTAAGCTCTAGCTCTTTGGGTTTTTTTTTAAAGAAGATTTTTTAAGTTTTTTAATATATACATACAAGGAAAGTTTTTTCTTTCTATTGCCATGGCAACCAGTGTTTTGCATGGAATTAAATTCTTTGAACAGTTTTTAAAGGTGACCACCAAAGGAACATTCCTGTGAAGTTTGGATGTAATTGGCTTAGTGGTATATGAGAAGATGTCATTTAAAGTAAAAGTTTATGGATGGAAAAAGACAAGACAACGGATGAAAAGTGATCACAAAAGCTCACCATGTCACTTTGTGACTAGTGAGCTAAAAATAAATGACTATTAAATTAAAGAGCTTAATGATACAAAATCTCTTTTTTTTTGCATATACATTATGTACATATACATGAATATTTGAACAAATGACTGTCATAGTTTATTTATATCATCTTTTTTTATTTCAGATCAGTTAGCTGTATAAATAAATGACAACAATAGAGTGGACGGAATGTACAAGTTAATAAGAATTGTCTATAAAAACATTTAATCACTGCATTCCTAAAGATTTGAACAAGTCCATTTTTTCCCGGTATAACACATAGAATTCATTAGCCAGGTAGTAGAATGGAGCATCAACCCCCTGCATTTCTTTCTGCAATGATAAATGTACATACATAAATCAGTCTGAAAACATTTAACAAAACCTGAACAGTGTAAAATCTTCAAAACATTTCTTACTCTCCAGCCAAAAATGCATCTCTCAAAGAAAAGTAACCTTGAAGAAAGACTTTACCGAAATAGTTTTTCATTTAGCTGTACAATCCAAACAAATTCGATTAGACTTTAGTACATTTAATAAAGAAATAAAACTGTTTAACAAAGCAAGTACTAGTACTAGTTTCAGAGGTCAATGTAAGAGATTTGTTGTCTATGGTTATATGCAATTTCCTATTTGGTTAGAGTTTCTTCCCTTGATATCAACTTGAACTAGTACTGTCAGTGTCAAACTAACTTCGGTAATTACTAACTCAAATAACAAAACAAAATTAGATCAAAGAATTTGATATAAAGTTTCAAATATTTAACATTCTAAAAATAATTATGAAATCTCACCTAACAAACATAACCACCTGTACTGAGCCAGTCTAACAAGGCTCTATACTGTTGGAAGCTCAATTTTAATCTTTTTTTAATGGACTGTTCCAAACGCAAAGCAGGGCAAATCCATGAATCAAATTGGCAGGTTCAGATCGTACAATATTTCCAAATTGATTAGATTTAATTGACATGGCAACCACAATTATTTTTTTAGATTATTGTTGATTATCAAAATGGACTACTTACTGCAGAACACTCGAAGTATTTGAGACCCTGAGATGCTGCAAAATCTGCCCCCATTTTAGGACTGATGACACGTCTTTGGTCAAGATCAATTTTGTTTGCTATAAGAACTCCTGAAAAGGTTAAGTAAATACATGAAGGCAGAGGTATTTTTGTAAAAAATTTTAAACAAGTACATGTACATAAAAAAAATGCATCAAACAAAATTTAAAGATACACTTTGCTCATTTTCTTGAGCAAATTATTTCAATCATGGAAGTTAATGGAAATCTTTATCTATGAAATTTTCACTGAATATGTGGTCTTTTCACAAAAATACTGTCATTTTTTTTAATGAAACTATATATTAATATTGTGACCACCTATAGTGTTTAGAATCTTAAACATAACATATTTACTTTGTGTGAAGTCAAAACATGTTTATTTTATATTAACAGAGAGACTGTGTAGCAATTATCTATATATCAAATTTGAGCACAGTATATCAATGGACGAACTGGTAAACATATTCATTTATTGAAAACATCTAAATTAACTTATTATAGCATTAAAATGAAGGTGCTAACGCATCCTGATTCTCAGTGTATAAGTGTACCTTTTTTCAGTATAACATTTGAAATCTATTTCAGGATCTATATTTTAGTATGTAAACTTGTTAACATGAGTAAAGAATAAATATACCTGGCATCTGAACATCAGGGTTTTCTTGACGTACTCTACGTAACCATTTCTCACAGCTGTTAAATGACGTTTCACTTGTAGCATCATACACCACAATGACCATAGAGGTGTGTTCCCACTTAAATAAAAGGGAAATATTTTTTTTTAATACAATACAGTTTATGTGCTTTAGATAACAAGAAAATAATTGTGGAGCACACAAATTTTAGGAACATCTTTTGTCCACAAGTCAAATATAATACATTTCACAATGAAATCGATCAACTTAAATCTGAATGTAAAATGCAATTATCTGTTTAAATCTCACCAAAATGAAGGGGGAAAAACCTACTATAAAATAAAATTTCAAATGGAATTATGTAATGTAATTTTTGTCTTTTATTATACATCTGAAATTTCAAGTGACTTGTTTTCAGTTTATGTTGTACAAAACATGACTATGCAGTTTCAGAAGTTATTAATATCCAATTTCCTATTACCCCAAGATGACTACAAGTCATGTAACTTAGTATAAATTATTGAAATGACTTATTAGTCGCCGGTAGAAACCGGCGACTATATTTGTAACAGTTTAATATTATATATATGGTAGGAGAAGGCCTTAAAATCTGAAAATAAAAGCAAATCAATTACTGAACAATTAAGGACCACAATTATTTTTCAGAATCTTAAAAATTCAAAAATAAATTAACGTTGCTAAATGAAATGAAATATACAAATATTGACATCTTAAAAAGCAACATTACAATTTTCATAAAATGAATTAATAACGTATCCCTATGGACCAGTCATTGAATGTAGGGATACTTTTACTTTTTTCTAAGTGTCAAGCGTTGCTATTTTATGATTGATAAATCATGAATGATATTTAAAATGACACATTTAAATTATCTGGTTGTTTAATATCTTATGACACCTATTATATTTCATTATTTTATCTAATTATAAACAGATTCTCCCTGTTCTATTGTAAGAATCACGTGACTACACGTTGTATGTTAGTGTTATAGAATCTATTAATAGTAACAGATTGCTGATAAGACATACTAGTTGGAAAACGGTATGGGGGCTAATTAGATGCAAATGTATAAATAATTACAAAGTTATCTTTCATTAATCAGTTTCATATTTTATATCATTAGAAAGGATTAGTACATTCAGAGACATAGATGTTATCTATGTCTCTGGTACATTAAAGAATTAAATAAATTTTCAAAACCTTTTCATTTTATCTTTGTAAAGGGTTAAATTTTGCCCTTTCTGTCAATGTTCAATAGTTTAGTTTAGGTTGAACATCACAAAATAGATTTATGCTAAAGAGGCACATTTATTGAAATAAATAGTGGTAATCGTCGTCTTCGTTATATTCCGTCGATTTCCGTCGCGCAGGTTACCAAAACGGTACGACACATAATAATGAAAACTAATAAAATATCTTTTTGTTAATATTTTATCGAACTGAAAGGCAATTAAACGTTAACTATATATCGTATGTAACGACAGGAATATTGATTTCAACTAAATAGCTTATTTTTTTCGATAGCGCAAAAAAATAGTTTCATGAAAACTGCAAAAGGGATTTTCAAAGATTCGAATTTGGCTTACTAGGTCACAACTTCGTTCTATACTTACCACATATTAATTAATTTAATATCGATATCTATACTATCAATAAAATCTTTAGCATAAATCATAATAAGTTACGTAAACTAACGTACGAAATACTTGCTTAATAATCATAGCAGTTCCTTAACAATATTGCTAAGCAAGTTTGCTTCATATATGATGTTTTATTGTGAATAAACAGTTACTCAACATAAATTGTACCTCTTTTCTTTATACCTGAACCATTAATTAAACTGATTTTTTTATATTTATGATAATACAGTCATTTTCTATCCGGCGACTTGATGCTTAAGCATCAATATCTCTACTTGTCTAAGACTGTGATGATAATTTGAACTTGCTACACAGTTGTATAATAACTACTGTAGGAAAGATGATACAATGTAATCTTGCTGTTGAGATTATTTACCAACTTTTTATTGATGCCAATGTTACTACTCTGTAACTCAAAACCACTTCTTTAAAGGACAACATTGTATAATAGTAAGTGTTGACATAAAAATATTTCCCTGAAAGTTTTTACTAGATAATACTTACAAATTTTGGAACAAGCTCGGCAAAAAGCTCTTTCCCTGCAGAATCATACATATACAGTTCCTGAAAAAGTACATTATAAGGACCTTAACATTTTTTCATGAATGAAATCCTATACTTAAAAGTGGAAAAATGACAAGCACATTGAATAAGTCAGGTGAGGATGAAAATGGGCAATATTTTCTCAAACTTTTTTAAAGTGGGGTAGCAATAATAATATCTCATTCCTAACTCTAGCAATTTTCTTGAAACCATTTTTCTTTATAGTAACAGTGACTTTAACCCTTTAGGCCATAAAACTGACCAACACAAATCTATAGCTCTTAGTGTAATGCAGAAGCAGACACTTGCTTAAATAAGACTGCTCTAACAAGAGCTCCACTAAGGCAGGACAATATATGCCTCAAAAGTTACACTGTGGAAACCAATTGTCTATGGTATTCAACCGAATTGTGATAAAGGGCCATTTCTTTTTTTAATAGAGGGTCATTTTCCCATTCTTCTATTGTAATGGAATGAACTCTATTGTTCTGTTTTGCTCTGTTTAAAGTTAGATGGCACCCTATCTCTATTCGGTACTGCAGACAGACAGACAGACAGTGCCATACCATATGTCCCACAAATAGTCAACCTACCTACAAGTGATTTTTTTCTCAAAAATGTACCTACATTTTCAAATGATCACAGCCATTTGGATTCAAAACAAATTCAATTATTACATTTAGTTCAATATCTAATTCTTTGGGTGTAGCACTAATAACTTAAGCACAAATATGCTGAGTGATTCTACACAAATATGACAAGGTTAAGGCTTAAGTTATAGCAAATGATCAAATGACAAACAATGACATACCACACCATCTTTTGTATCTGGTATGTTGACCTGCTTTACCAACATATCAACACCTGTTGTCTGAAAAAAGAGACATAAAACATAATCATACTGTGATGCAGTCAACAGTGTTTACATGTACATGTATTACTGCTGTTAAATAATCTACAAATGTATATCAATGTTTGCCTTTGTTGCTTCTCTACATAAAAATACATTATACAATATACATTATAAACATTATAACACATAACATACTACACTGACAGAATTACACTTTCCATGTGAATCTACAAGGGAATCTTGAATTTTTTTTTCATACAAAAAAGCTAGCTACCCAGGTAGCTGATGGAAAGTTTGTTATTTTACTCAAGTACCGAATGATTTCCTGCATCAAGAAAGCTGGATGTTACAGTGTCAGTGTAACTGAAATATATGTTATTCTACAGTCATTTGTAACAACCCTATTTGACTTGATTAATGCAAATGACGGTTTACTCTCATTCCCTACAATCCACTAAAGATTGTGGCAGCCACTAGTGCTGTATATAGTGCAGTATTCCATACAATGGAAATATTATTAATTATAGATGGGCATCTTAAACATGCATACAATAAAGTGATCACTACCATTGTAATATAAAAAGAAAACAAACATATTGCAAACCATTGTGTAGTTTTTTGGGAAGAATGAACTGTCACTGTGAAACACCTGGCATAATGAACTTTTACCACTTGTTGAGTCTCCTGAAAAAGCAGAACCTTCATATTTAACATATATATATTGAAAAGGATGTGGAAAATAATTTGTATTTAGTAATTCTTAAAGAAACATAAATTTCTAAAAGTTTGACACATGCATGTATGTACTTTTGAGTCTTGTCAAGCGGGTAGCTTCCTAACCATCGTTCCTGGAGAGTTACACCAGTACTAGACTACCTTCCTCTGCGCTACACTACCAAAGCATCTAAGGGGATCGAACCCACGCCAGAGAGGTAACTGGATTAGAACTAATAGATGTCATCGACTCTAACCCATCGACCACAGAGGTGGCTTTATATTATATAAATAAAACGTTCAGGACAGTTTTTAGCATTCCAACATGTCGCACAATTTCAAATCTTACCGAAAAACAAAATCCCCTTGAATGAAAAATATTTGAAAATCATGCAAAATTCCCCCCCCCCCCCCCCCCCCCCCCCCCCCCGGCCCCAGTCTCAAAATGCTAACGAGAGCCCTGTATGCAATCAAGCAAAAAAAGGTGTGCTGCATCTTATTATGGTAAGCAAACAACAAGCTTGAAATTTCCAATGCCCGTCGGTGTGCGAGATGAAATTTTCATTGCAAATGTATTACTTCAAAATTGTCCATATAAACAATTTAATATGTTTCAGTTTTATTTTCTTCCTTTTTTTTAATTTTTTAATTTCAAGGTCCGTGATTTTCTGAAGATCATCAAATACTAAAAATTAATATCCCTACTGTATTGTATTCATAAAGTTTTCATGGTAATATTCAATAAAATCTTCTATTAAAAACACAAGTTTACATATTCATTATTGTTTGTCTTTATTTTTCTGATTTTTTTTTTGAAATATGTAACTCCACGCAACTTTTTTGTACATATTTATAATATTAAAATATTTGGGTTGAAGTGTCTAAGGGATGAACTCTCCCACTGAGTGTCTGAATAAAACATGGATTTGGGAAAGCAGGTATCAAACTGACTTTTGTAACAACCTGTTCTGACATTATTAATAGCTTACCGACAACAACACACTTTGCTCTCAAAACGGTTGGCATATTTCACTCGGAGAATTAAAAAATGCCTTTCAAAATCGGTTTTGGCTTTTGTTGTGTTTTCTTTTTGACGGAATGTATCTGACGGAATGTTAGCAGCTGTTTCATTGGTTAGGTTCTGTCGCAAATTTTCATTGGTTCTAATATTTCTTACGGACCAATCAAAATTTACAATTGTAATTATCTGCTTCTAATTGATCACTTCCGCTAGAAGAAATTTCGGGAGATCTGTCAAACCTCACGTTCAGTTCCAACATCGTATTTTGCCTAAGTATTATCTGATTATGACTGCAGAGGAAACAGATTAATATTTTTCGTAACAGCGTTTGTTTCTTTTACTTAAATCATCATCGTGCTATTATTGATCCCTCTTCGGATATTTTTTCTGCATCTCCCGGAAATAAAGATTTGTTGACATTTGTAATAGATCTGATGGTGTTTTTATAGTTTATTCCAACGTTTACCATTAATAATCCATTAATGATGAGAGAATCTGTGACAGATTTGCATCATACTTACTGACTGTGGCGAGGGGATAGACATTACAGCTACTGCTAATCTTCTTAATTATGCTTATCAGATCACCATGGGGGTGATTCCTGTCCATAATTATGAATCTTAGTAAATCTGATGAGAAACATCTGCACTCTGTTAAGGCATAACTGATAGTAATTATTCAATACTTAAAAAAACTATATGAAGGATTTTCTGTGGTATTTGGAGTGAAGATACACATAGGATTGTTTTTCTTTATTCACATCTAATGAGTACAACAATGTCAGTCCAGTCAAGTCTTTGCCATGGTGGTCAGAATATAGGATGTGTGGAGAAAGTTGTTATTGGAAGAAGTATGAGTGATCCATATCGTGCAAAATTGATTCCAGGAACTTCTTTTAAACCTGTTAATGATTACACTTTATCACAACTAGCATTTGATCTCTACATGGCAGTGGTCTCAGGATATTCAGAGGCTGTCCGAAATATCCTAATGTCACATCCTGGTGTTGATGTGAACATTTCGGTGAAAGGTGCTACAGTTCTGTCTCTGTCATTGCAAAAGAGACAGTTTCATATTTTCAACATGCTCATGAAACACCATGAAAGGAGTAAAAAATTTGACTTAAACAAGTGCAGTAAGGACAGTTTCAATCGTATTGAACCTCCAGTGATTACAGCCAGCAGAATGCATTTTTTTGAAGGTGTGGTTGCATTGGCGAACAATGGTGCAGATATAGATGCTACAGATCATCTTGGACATACAGCATTATGGACAGCAGCTAGACAGCAAATGCCAGACCTAGTAGAATATCTGATATGTAATGGTGCTAGTGTGAATAAAACTGACATTTACCATCATACACCTTTACTGACTGCAATGATGTACAGAGTCAGTTCTGGAATTATCAAAATGCTCATTATGAATGGAAGCAGTCTAGAAGGTCCTCGTTACCCAGCAAATACTCAACTATCACCGTTATTTTGGGCATTAAAGTACAAAAATATGGATATTCTTAAACTTTTGATTTATGCTGGAGTTTCAAATAATGAAATAAGGTATGTGCGAAAAATTCTGTTTGCAAGAAATGGAGAACAAAAGTTAATAGAAATGTTGGATACAGAAGCTAAAACACCAAGGAGCCTGAAACAGATATGCCGGAGTGAAGTCCGGAAACACTTAAGTGATGTTTGTCATGGCAAACACTTTGTTTCAAGAGTGAAAGAGTTACCTGTACCAACGATTCTCAGACAATATTTGTTGCTACGTGGATGAAATGTGTATTTTAATTTTGTTCTGTTACATTCAAAGATTCATAATTTCAAGGGCAGGATGTATCATGTTTGACAACACTTTATCATTAAAGGCATTATTTCATGGAAATATTTTTATGTATAATGTTTTGCATGGCAATGTCACTTAATTTGCACTAGTTAGTTTTTACTTGTATAAATCATGGGCACAATGGCTAAATCAAAACACATTGAACTAATAAATTGAACTAATTAATACATGATTTATTTTTTTTTTGATTTTTAAAAAAAATAATTTTTTGCTTAAGAAATTACACATGATACTTTTTATTCTTTTAAAGATTGATGTTGATCTTTTTACAATTTACTCTGTTAAAGGATCAAATGAAAGCTAATAGTCAAAACAATGGACTGTAATAAGTGGATGCACATGCTAGACATTGCAATGTTTTTAACATTTGAATTAAAATATTTGTTAAGGCTTATAGTTATAAAAACTACATGTACTTAAAGGGTTTGTACCACTTTGCTCACCAGCTTCATTATTTATGCATTTTACCAATGTATCTTAATCTTATATTTTTAATTACATACTGCAGTGCAAGTCATGAAATTGTACACATCAACATGTTTTTTTTGTGTTTTTTTTTCAAGCTTTAAACATGATGTAAACATTTTTTATATTGTGGCTAAAAAAATTGCTAATGTATAACATAGAAATACCAATATTATTTGCAGTTTCCTGTAGGCTGTAAGGTATTTAATATTAATGATTTAATTGTCGAGATGGAAATTCTTGCTATTAAAAATTCTGTTTGTGCTTTAGTCATGCTTTTTCTATAAATGTTGTTGTTTATGAAAACTGTTTAACTTCACTTTAATCTAAATTATAATTGTTTATTAACCCTTTCCCCCATGAGCATATTGTGAAAAATGGCCGTTTTCACTGAAAAGCCTCCTGTTACAAGTTCAAACTGCTATGAAACTATGAAAAATGCTTTAATACTAATCAAACTTGGCACAAATGTTGACTGGACCATTGTCTTTGTAACGACATGCTCAGTCTTAAATTTCCTGTTACCATGGCAACGAGGGGACATCTCAAAATTGCCAAAAATCACTATTTTGCCTCGATTTTTTCCATCAAAATTTATTTCAAAGTGCTGCAACTGCTCAAGGGATTGAGATAGAGTCAAAGGTTTTTCAGCGTTGGTTAAACGTTACATTATGATCGACCTGGGGTTATTTTTAGCCTCTCACAAGTCCAAAATTTTCTTGGCGATGAGGGGGACTCCGCCCCCCTTCAAAGTGCGTTGTTTCGCGTATATATGTGGTAAAGGGTTAAGAAAAAATCATAGAAATATCTGCTAATTTTGTGTACAGTAATTACATTTATGAATTTTAATGATTATCTATTTGCTCAAAAACTAAACCAAAGAAAATATAACAATTTTATTCTTCACACATTTTAATTTATGCTTCTGACAGAGCTTTGATTTTTTCCCAAATGAAGGCCACTTTTTTATCATAGCTAGGTTTTAACATGTTTTTCTTTATCAAATACTTTATATTTGTATAGCTGATATTTCAGGAAATGATGCAAAATTTTACAAATTAGACCATCAACGTTATTATAATTCTGTAAAATTCAATGGATACTCATTTTTGCAATTTGAATAATTACTCCTAAACATTGTCTTGATCATACCAAATGATGCCTTTAATTTAAATTCTTTTTTCTTATCAATTATTTACCTGCTATATCTGTTTTTATTTTCATATCCATCAATGTTTCATCTAATTAAAAATAGCAGATTCTTGAATTAGGCACTTAAAATGATAATGAACTTTATCATAAATAAGATACATTTCAGTTTTGTACTCAGTCTTATGTTGTAAGTTAACTTTAATCAGAATAAGTGGAGTGGTGAGTCTGATGCCAGTGTTTCAGTAGTCTCTTCATCCAGGACTGAAGCCATACTGGGGTCACGACCATTTCCACATATGACACTAGTGATCAAACTTGAGAGAGATTAAAATTGGCTTATTTGGCTACAAGGTTTCTTTAACAATCAAGCTTAAATAAATAGTGTTTAATTAGAATGAGTTCATAAGCAGAAGAAGATTTTAGCTTTATCTCTGAGCAAAAGGTTGGAAAGTTGATTCAACAGTTTAACAAAAAGTTAGGATTACATGCAGAATGTGTCAGGCATCATTTGTATTTTCATGTTTGTGGTTAGATTGACTGTGAATGTATTGTTAAATGTATACTGTGTTGCTAATAGACTGCTAATGTTTTATCACTGATACATATATTATATGATTGTGTTTATGTTCATAATATTATGTTGTATTGATGGTTTGATACAGTATTATTGTATGTGAGTACTGGTGCTAAGTATGTATCTATAGTATTGTCACAATTTGTGTTTTATAATATACTAGTGCAATATGCTATTGTCCAGCAAACTGACAGGTTTTTAGCTTAGTGTTAACATGAATTAATTTACCTGATTTAATGACTTGTTATACATGACTGTGGTCTGTTACTTTAGTCGTATCCCTTTAATCCACAAAGTGAATATAACCACTAAAATATCTATATTTTAGTTTGGCAGTTAGGGTAAACATAGACTGGTATTATGAAGCAAATTTTTGCTTTTTGACTGTAACATTCCACTCTGTATGATCACCACCTTAGTCAAATATTGCTTAAAAGGAATCATTTAAATAAAGTTCCATGGTTAAATATTAATGTACATGTATTTTGAAATAATTTACCATTTTCAGTCTGAAGCAAATGGTAAAACTCCACTTTGACTTCTAGAAATAGTTAATAAAGCAGAATTGAACCAAAAAAAATTACTATATTAATGTATACTGTAGAATAAGTAAAAAAGTTGAAGATAATTCGAACATAATTCCTTGATTTGCTTACAATAGACACTTTGTAGACAAACTTGTGTTGGTAGTACATGATTGTTTTAGTAGAGTTGACTGCTGTTATCATGTGCCAGCTTTCTATAGACTTTAAAGTATTACTTACAGTATATTGTATAATCAAGCTTTTTAGTTAATATCTTACTTTATTATTGTTTAGATTTAAATCATTATTTTAATTTGTTGTTAAAAAAAGTTAAAAAGAAAGTCATATTATTAGCCTGAACACTAAGTGCTCAGATGTTAGCTTTTGTGATGGCAAGTTGTCTGTTGTTTGCTGTAATCAACATTGTTCACAGTGTTTTTAAACAACATATTTTCTAAACTACAGGATGAATTTTGACCAAATTTCACAGGAATAATCCTAATGTAGCCCATTTACAAAAGATAACTATATGGTTCTAATGATTATATGATTCTAATCTTACTCATAAAGAAGTCACAAGAGCTAAAAAAAGACTTAAAGAATGAAATCTTTAAATCTCTTCTTGGGGTTCACTTAGTTTACATGGACTTACTTTAAAGACACTTATACCACTAGGCCAAGGCCTATGAAATTTGGTGTGTAGCAAGCTCTAGTCAACCTCTATAAACACTACTAAAGAAAAAACATGTATATCCATTTGGCCAACATTGGGCATGAACTACTTTCTAAAGTTTTAAGACTGAAAGAAAAATGAACTTTGATGTTAAAAGACAAAGAAATTTGAACTCAATGGAAATCAGTAGATTTATTGAAATACATCTTTTAAAATTTTGTATTTAGTAGTTTTATCAGTGATTTTGAATCTTGCTCAAAACATGTGTGAAAAAAAAGTTGCTTTTTGTTCAAATAAAACATTTAATAGTTTGTAAAATGTAATTCAAGTTCAAATTAAAATTGACAGGGCATTTTTAAGAATATGTTAACAATTTATTATTATTTGTATGTCATGTTTATGTATCATAGATGGTATAAATTTGGATCTGGTTACCTGAGAAATACTCAAGGTACCCACTCTGTATTCAAAGTCAAAGGCAATTATCCATGCACCACCTTCAAATATCCCAAAACTATCCAAATAAGCAAGTATATTGTCCTATATATTTTTATTGTTACTAAAATGATGATATTAACAACTCAAACTTATACCTGTCTAAACAATTTAAATGTGAGTGTGACAAAACTTCCATGGTAGAAAATGATGAGAATCTGACCATGTCAAATAATGGAAATGCCTAGCAGTTCCAAGGACATATGTTCCATAATGTGCATTAAAACATGATGGGTCTGTTACTTTTTAAAATCAATGTTTAATGCATCTTAGATGTATTTTTACCAAGTCTGCCAAAGTTTAAAATGATGTATAATGTATTTTATTATATTTTGATATCAAACAGTAGTCATTGGTTGTAAGGAATAATAGAAGCAAGTTTGTAAAAATTAGTTGTTGCATTATCTATCTCTGGAATCAGGTACATGGAATTTACTTTTACTTTTTAATTTAAGATAAAATTTGGACTCTACATTTACCCCCTGTGATAAGATCTAAGTCCAGCTTTGAATATGCCATTATTAACCATATCCTTGTTGATGGCAAATCTCATATTTAGCTCAGAATAAAATGTTTAGGGCATAAGTCCTGTATGGTATAAGGCATGAAATCCTCACCACACGACTACACCTTTACAACAGTTCACAGAAAATATTGGTATCCAGTCATTCTGTTTCTAACAATGAAAGGAACAGTCAGACCAGGGTTGAATTAAATATTCTCCCCATTTTAGGATGACTTCTCTATGCTGAATTATACTGAAAATGTGCAATTTTGATGTGTTCTGAACTAAATTATCAATACTGGTAAGGTAAATAATGGCATACAAGTATTCAAAGTTAGAAATAAATTTCATCATATTGCTTTGTGGGTATTTTAAATGACTGTACAGTAATTTTATCAACAGCTTTTCGAGATTTCGCATTTATGCCCAAACACTTGAACTAATTTTACATGTATATACCATATTAGATCATCCAATGAAAGTGCCCCTCACCGCTGTGGGTTCGAATCCCGACAGGGACTTTGGATTCTTTCATGTGAGGAAGCTATCCAGCTAGCTTACGGAACGTCGGTGGTTCTACTCAGGTGCCCATTTGTGCCTGAAATAATGCACGGAGGGGCACCTGAGGTCTTCCTCCACCAGTAAAGCTGGAACGTCACGATATGACCTATACTGTGTCGATGTGACGTAAAACCCAAAACAAACAAACAAAATCAAATGAAAGGTAAAGATAGACACCATTATTTTGATGGATTATTATTGTTTTGAAACTGTAAATGTCATAATAAATGAAATATGTGTACCTATAGGTATATGTATTACCCATGTTTCTAAGAATCTCAATGTTCAAGTTTCATTATTAATATTTGGGAGAAATCTCTGCTTAGCGTTTGAAATATGTCATACTGTTTGTCTCAAGAGTACTAGTATCAGTGTGCTGATGTTGTTAAAATGCTTATAGAATTGTTGTCATACAATTTACATTATTTCTATATTTTTCAAAGACTGTTTTTATTTTCTGCAACAACTTGTTTGATGTTGTTACTGTTGTGTAACGTGTTTACATGCATTTAGTTATTACCAGGTCATATAAATTGAAGTATTTCTTGCCACTTAATGTCACAATGTTTGCCAAGAACAAATTATGTCTCTATATGTTTACAGCAAAGCTGATTATAAATTATATATATTGATGAAAATATGGTTGTTGTGTATTTTATGATATTATTCGGGGGAAAGATCAAATTTAGGGGGACCATTGGCCCAAAGTCACTCCACTGAGGATTTGTAAACTATAACTTGTTTCTGTAAACTTTCATAGTTAAAAAGATCCTCTATCCTGTCAATGAAATTAACATAGACTTTTTATGCCCTCAAAGAGCAGCATATTAAATGCACCGTCAGTCTGTCTGTTCATCTGTGCGTCCCCACTTGCACAACATTTGTGTCCAGACTGTTGTCATGCATTGCAGGATTTTAAAAGAACTTGGCACAAATGTCTACCACATAATGATGTGTCGCATCTAAGGCCCATGTCCCTACCTCAAAGGTCAAGGTCACACAGTTTGAAGGTTCACATTCTCACAATTAGAGTTTAAGGGTACACAAATTTGTGTCCAGACTGGTACTTTGTCATGCATTGTAGGATTTTAAAATAACATGGCACAAATGTCTACCACATGAAGACAATGTGTTGCATCCACGATCCATGTCACTTTCTAAAGGGTCAAGGTTTCACTTACAGTTTGAAGGTTCATATTCTCATAATTAGAGTTTAAAGGTACACTCAATTGTGTCCTAACTGTAACCGTCATGTATGGAAGGATTTTGAAAATAAAGTAGCATATATGTCTTCCACATCAAGACGACATGTCCCTACCTCCAAGGTCACACTTACTGTTTTAAGGTACTAATTATCACAAGAAGAGTTTGAAGGTATACATTCACATGATCTTTCATGCTAAGTATCTATGCTGTAACTCTGCTGATTTCAGTGAAAAAGATTTTGAAGTTTTAACCTGGCATGACCCTTCAAGGCCAGGCTAATTTCAATCTTTGGTCAAGAATTTGAATGATTGTGGAAGCTGTCAACTAGGCATTGTTTCATGCAAAATAACCAAGCTCTATCATTTTGGATTTCAAAGAAAGGATTGTATCTGCCCCCACTTAAAGTGTGGAAATACTATGCCCACACTAAAAAAGTGGAAGAATACTGTCAGATCAGTAACGTGAAGAGTTGTAAATTGTTGTCTATGTCACTTGGTAGGTAATTTTGAGGTCAAAGGTCACTGGCTTTTAGAACTATTTGTTTGTAATAACTAGGGAACATTTTGTCCTACAGAACATAAATTTTGTGTGGAGGTGGAGCAAAATTAGTAAATTGATAACCAAGTCACTGTGGCCTAGACCCAATGACAAAAGTGGAGGTTGGACTTTACTCATTGAAGGTCAGTTGGTCAATGTGGCCTTGACTTCTAAAAGGCTATCCATCTAATAATTACTAAGAAACACTTCAGCCTACTGTTGTAAGATTTAGTGTGGAGATTGGTGAGACCTCTTACAGACTTGAGGTCATCTGGTAAAAGGCCATGATCTCCTCAGCCTTGACCATTAAAAGCTTATCCTACCAATAAATAAAGACTGCTGGGTCACCAGTCCTTAGATTTAGTGTGGAGATTCTTTGTAACTTGTAAATGACCTATACTTATTTTGAGGTCAGTATGTATAGGTTAGTCATCAAGGTTAGTGTAGCCTGACCACTGAAAGCTTGTATGACCCCTAGCTTGAGAACTGAAGTTTACAGTTCTAAGATTTGGTGTGTAAATTGGTCATGACTAGAAGATGACCACTATTGATTTTTGAGATCATTAGGTCAAGGTCACAGTGATGCATGAAATACTAGTCTTATAGAGACCAATAGTTTCTTCACTCATGTCTGTAAAAAATATTTGTTATGATACTATTATTATATATGGATTATATATGATTGATTTCATGCTTTCCAGTGTTTTATTGTATTATATCAGATGATTATATTTTGATAAACCACTAGTGAAATTTATAAAATATAGTTTTCACTGTAGCCGGACTATATCTGAATGCCAATGAAAAGAAAATCATAACTAAATGGAATAACTGGCAGAAATAAATGCCGTCATACGTAAATTTTGCTTCTTTAGGAAAAGAAAGTCAATATCATCATACATCATGTTAAAAATTTAACAAAATTAGAGAAATTTAACAGAACTATGTTTCAAAACTGATGATGTGACGTCATGATATAATGACGTCACAAAGGAGAATGCGCGACTTTACGCGAAAAAATCTGTAAAAATTACTTAAAATCACTTAAAAGCATAAAATAAAAAGAAAATTTATTTGTTTTACATATTAAGATTGAAATATATTTCATTCGTGAACACCAGCTATTATATTGCATCTGGTGTTCACTCAGTGAAATTATATTTCAATCTTACATGCAAAACAAACAAATATTCTCTATGTTTTTTTAATATGACACTTGACTTTTATAAAATACATGTCTGACATGAAGGATAAGTGTCCAATGGACACATTTCTAGTTACTACATGTATAAACATACATTGTACATGGAAAACCCATGGCCTCTTGGGCAGGGCCAATTCTGGCCATAATTTGAACAACACTGTAGAGGACTTCTAGATGATTTGACATATTATATATCAAAGTTTTCAGGCACAAAGCCTAGTAGGGGTTTACAAAAGTACACCATGAGCATGTTGTGCTCAAGTGAGCTAATCAAGATGTTGGAAACCAGTGGTAAATGCCAGTTTATGGTTTTATGAAAGTATGAATACCTGTCCTGTAGAAAACTCATTAATAAATTACTGACCTTTAATTAAAATTCTATCTTTCAAAGTTGAAGAACAAAAGACACGGAATATTGTTCATTTATTGATAAAAATTTGTTGTAGACATCTAAAAATACAATGTGTAAAAGATATAATATTATACAAAAACATGTAACAAAATATCACTTGTCCCATCAATCTATCTCTATAATAAGTTGATTGTTGTTTACAATCTTGAATAAGTCTTAAAACATTACTTATCATTCATTATTGAAGGTGTGAACATTTTCTTATACGTTTTGTATTTAACATATCACCAATTACATTAAGTTTAAGTATATCAGTAGTCCTACTTGATTTGCTGGAACTTAGTTTTAGTTCTACAAATTAAGTTCTATGCTAGTAAATGTACTAGAAATTATGTTCATTTTTAACTGCAATCTTTTTCCACATCCTACCAAGGTTTAGATAGAAAATAATATATTTTGTTCATTCATATTTTCCAGCTGATAATTTGAGATTTGTCTCTTCTTTTATGACCAACAACTAATGACACCTGTCTTTCCAAGTTTGCCTTCAATATAAACCTATCATATACCACCATCCCTTGTTTAAAATACTGGTATGGGGTATGACCATGATGACCTGATAATAACTTGACTAGAACCTCTTCACTTTATCTTGTTCCTGAAAATATGATAGGAAAAGAATTAATGCCAATATGAGAGGCTGCCGTCTTGACAGAACTGTTGACTTTCTATAAGCTTTCTTCAATAGTTCCGTCAAATTTAAGAATTATTTGTCTAAAAGAAACCAATTTTGAGCCCAAAGCAGCATGGAGCAACAATTGAGTTGTTCACACAATTCAGTAACTGTCTAAAATTCTCAACTTAAGTATACAATTCTACCTAATTGATCTTGTCTATTATGTAAATGCTTCTGTGAGAAAGTGAAATTGTCATGAAAATGTCAGGCAATTCAATTAAGATGCAGTCTCATGGCCATGACAAAGTTTAACAAACACAGGATGTGGCATATGCTGGAACCACTCGGCTACAATAAATCAAATGTGTTTTATAATTGTATTAAATAGGAATTGTGTCAGAAAGTATCTGCAGAGCAATCATTTCTCTTGATTTATTCTATGAAATTGCTCCTGGGTGTAAAGAAAGCTTCTATCTTAAGTGATGGAAGTGAAGTAATTCATTTAAATACTGGTTTGTAACGAAACGAAGACTAATTACAGAAATAATCACCTCCAAATTTAAAACATAATAACAGAATTTCCAAAGGCAACACTTAAGAATTTAAATAAATATAGGTAATTGTCAGGCAAAATGTTAGTTGAAATATACAAAAACATGTAATTGATATCTTCTGAAAATTGCCTTACACATGCAATTTGATTATTATATATATTTCTTCAAATTAATTATAAATGTACATTTTTCATTCAGTTTTCCAAGGTCTGTAACTATCTTACCATATAGGTGTTCAATGTTAACATGAACAAAAATTACTGGTAAATAAGATCATACATTAAATACATGTAACCTCAATTAAAGGACATGTAAGAATCCTTAACTATTTAATTTATATCCATAAATTACTGAATTTAAAAAGAAAAAATAACACTCAAAAACAATAGCTGTCAGTAGGACAGTGTGCTTTACAATTCCCAGTGCTTGGAAGTCAAACAAGAGCCTTGATAATGTAGGAATAAACAAAAAAGGAAATTAAGAAAATATATGACATATTTATGAGTCTTGGATATTGATCAAAGAATTTCCTAGGTCCACAGAGGGATGATGATATTTGGGATGTTTACGGTGACCTTCACATCTGAAAGAGCATGTTTTAAGTTTCATGAGCAAATCTTCAATAGTTTTGAAGATTGATAATGCATGTAAAACTTTTTTCACAAAGGGCCATAAATAAGTCAAAAGACATGTAAAGAGTAATGGACCTTGGGTAGTGATCATGAAGACAAGGTTTAAGTTTTAAGTGAATACATTAATTTTACATATTGATTTTGCATCCAAAACCTGTAAGTTCAAAAAGAGCCATAATTTCATCAAAATTCATGCAAGAGTTATGGGTATTTGATAGTGACCTATAACGATCTCAATAAATTATAAGCAAAATAATATCTTAAGCCATTGATGAGATATGATGTTGCACGTAAAACTTTATTATGCCAAAGCAAACGCTGATGCATGGGGGAGTATGATAGCAAAAAATAGTCTAGCTAAAAAGTATCTATCTGACTTGTTTACTATTGACATAAAAACAATACCATTACATCCTACATTATGGCATCTACTTTTACACACATAATTGTGCTTTCATTTCCAAAGAATTAACTCAATTATCAGTTATAATTATTGTTTGATATTAAAACTAAACTAAAGTGATTTATCACACAACAAATGACAGGATTTTCCACAAAATTAATAATAACTGAACCACAAAACCATGACAATAATTATGCTCCAGGGCACTCAATAAGAATAGTTCTGTGAGGGTTTGTTTGAAATCCCCTGATAAGATAAGAGTATTAAGCTGTACACAGAAGAGCATTCCTCTAATTATTACATAAATGAGAAACTACAATAATTTACCATAATTCAGTAAAAAGTGACCAAATACCAAAACACAATTATATTTTCCAGGACACTTTCATTACTTTAGTACAATAGAAAAAGTTTGGTTAAAACTCTTGAGAAATGTAGGAAGAGTGGCACACGATAATTTACTCTATTTATACATGTAACATATGGAAAAAAAAGTAATTACTTGAAAAAAAAAAATAAAAGAAACAAGAGGGCCATGATGGCCCTGAGGTCGCTCACCTGTATATAGCCCCCCCCCCCCCCCAACACCCATTAGAAGATGTTTCATGCTAAAAATCTAAGCTCTAGCTCATTGGGCTTTTTAAAAAAAGATTTTTTTAAGTTTTTACTATACACATCTAGTTAAAAACAATTACACCCCTGGGGCAGGCCAGTTTTGACCCCAGGGCTTTTACTTGAACAAACTTTGTAGACACTTACTAGAAAATGTTTCATGCTTAATATCTTAACTTTAGCTATTTGGGTTTTTTCAAAGAAGATTTTAAGTTTTTGCTATATACATATAAGGAAAATCAATGACCCCCTGGGCGGGTCCAATTTTGACCCCAGGTCTTTTATTTGAACAAACTTTGTAGACACTCACTAGAAAATGTTTCATGCTTAATATCTAAACTCTAGCTATTTGGGTTTTTTCAAAGAAGATTTTTTAAGTTTTTGCTATACACATAATAAGGAAAATCAATGACCCCCGGGGCGGGCCAATTTTGACCCCAGGGCTTTAATTTGAACAAACTTGGTAGACACCTATTAGAACATGTTTGATGCTAAATTTCTTAGCTCTAGCTCTATGAGTTCTTTAAAAGAAGATTTTTTAAGTGTTAACTATATGCATATAAGGAAAATCAATGACCCCCTGGGGCTGGGCCAATTTTGACCCCAGGGCTTTTATTTGAACAAACTTGGTAGACACCCATAAGAAGATGTTTCATGCTAATTATCTAAGCTCTAGCTCATTGGGCTTTTTAAAAGAAGATTTTTTAAGTTTTTACTATACACATATAGTTAAAAACAATGACACCCCTGGGGCGGGGCCAGTTTTGACCCCAGGGCTTTTATTTGAACAAACTTTGTAGACACTTACTAGAAGATGTTTCATGCTTAATATCTAAACTCTAGCTATTTGGGTTTTTTCAAAGAAGATTTTAAGTTTTTGCTATACACATATAAGGAAAATCAAAGACCCCCGGGGCGGGGCCAATTTTGACCCCAGGGCTTTTATTTGAACAAACTTTGTAGACACTCACTAGAAGATGTTTCATGCTTAATATCTAAACTCTAGCTATTTGGGTTTTTTCAAAGAAGATTTTAAGTTTTTGCTATACACATATAAGGAAAATCAATGACCCCCGGGGCGGGCCAATTTTGACCCCAGGGCTTTTATTTGAACAAACTTGGTAGACACCTATTAGAACATGTTTGATGCTAAATATCTTAGCTCTAGCTCTTTGAGTTCTTTAAAAGAAGATTTTTTAAGTTTTTACTATATGCATATAGGGAAAATCAATGACCCCCTGGGGCGGGGCCAATTTTGACCCCAGGGCTTTTATTTGAACAAACTTGGTAGACACTCATTAGAACATGTTTTATGCTAAATATCTTAGCTCTAGCTCTTTGGGTTCTTTAAAAGAAGATTTTTTAAGTTTTTACTATTTGCATATAGGGAAAATCAATGACCCCCTGGGGCGGGGCCAATTTTGACCCCAGGGCTTTTATTTGAACAAACTTGGTAGACACTCACTAGAAAATGTTTTATGCCAAATATCTAAGCTCTAGCTCTTAGAGTTTTTTAAAAGAAGATATTTAAAGTTTTTTCTTTCGGTTGCCATGGCAACCAGAGTTCTGCATGGAATTAAATTCTTTGAACAATTTTTAAAGGTGACCACCAAAGGAACATTCCTGTGAAATTTGGATGAAATTGGCCAAGTGGTTTATGAGGAGATGTCATTTAAAGTAAAAGTTTACGGACGACGGACGGACGACGGACGAAAAGCGATCACAAAAGCTCACCCTGTCACTTTGTGACAGGTGAGCTAAAAACAGAATGATTACACATAAGCATTTGATACTGACAGCCCTGTGAAATAGGTTGAAATAAGTAGGAAAAAAGGTACATTCAAAAAAATGTTCTGCCTGACTGTCTGCCCATTTGATAACCACAGGCTTCCTTTGGAAAACTTGATTAAAACATAATTGTCACCTGAGTGCAGTAACAAATTAACTCCTATTGGATTTAAACAGGAATAAGCCATTACTGCACTTAGATGACAATATATAGTCCAATCAATTGACATGAATACTAACCTTTATCCCAACTTCAGACTTCTTTCCCATTTCCTTCTTGTAAAAGTTTACTAAAAAAAAGAAAGAAAACAAAATAAGTAAATAAAGGTGTGGGGATTATCAGGCTATATTTTTACTTTATTTAATTACCTATTGTTTCTGGTATATATATGTATACCTTCGTCAGTTAAACAAAAAAATGTGGAAAAAAACCCACACAAAACAACATAATAACTCTCAAACAATATAGTCATAAACTACTGCATGTACTTGTAGTCAACATTACAATTTAACCATTCATAATAACATACAAGAGAAGAAATATAAATTTGTTTATGAAACTGATTAAATGAAATATTAATCTACTGTGATAAATCAAATGTTGTGTTTTGCTCAGGTGCATTCTACATCATGATTAGGTTCTAGTTTAATAGATACTTGTTGTTGAGAAAGCATTAAGCCTACATATAGGGTTTAATTAATTGTGATCTATTATGCCATTTCAATGTTTAAATCTAAAGTGAATAGTGAGTTTTATGCATTATTACGCTGTATTCCTGAACATATATGTATAAGTCCTTCAAAAAGCTTAGTTATATTATTCATTAGCTACTTGATGATCATCATGATATCTTAATTTTATTTTACTTTTCATTTTTTATTGATATTCTACTGCCGAACATGTGTTCATTATTTTGTCTTTTTGTCCATAAAGAAAATTTATTTATTGTATAGTCATGACTTTGCATCGTGATCAGATTCAGAATCAAAGTGTTGCTGAAAAAAATTAAATATTCGAAATTTTGGGCTAACATTTTTATTCACAATAACCATGAATTTTAGAAGAAATTTATTTGCAAATATTACCAAAAATTAATCCAACACTAACCCTTTCTGAAGTATTTCTTTAATACATTGTAGCTAATGTTTTTGTTATAAACTGGAATTGGACCAGTTGCTGGACATAATTACTTGACAGACATGACCACATGCCCCATGTAAAAATGTTATTTCAACATGCACAATCATTAGAGATGTGTGTGTACTACTCACAACATCGGAAGGAAGGAAGATTTCTATTCTTCTCAACTTATTCTTATTCTCAGTGATAAGTTAAGTCCCCAAAACCATATTTTGTATTCCCCCATCATTTCCATTTGGAGTATGTTTATAAACAGCTGAATTATTTATGATCTGACCTTGTCAAAATATTGCATAATTTACATAATGAGAATGTACAGAAATTTGTCATTGTGACAGAGTGGTTAATCTTATACAATATGTCTATCTGTAATCATGATTGTGATATTTTAAATGAAACAGATAAAATAACCAGAAATATTTTTAATATTAATGTTGTGATCCAAATTTTATCCTTTGTTTGTTAGCTACAGTAAAAATACTTGATTTTCATCTTAGTTTAGTGGTAAGAATTCAGTATATATATGCTTATGGTATGTTAGATTAATTTTTTTTCATATTCATGTTTGTCATAAGTTCAGGACAACATTAACACTCTTCCTCCTGTAGCTAGATATGATGTATTCTACAGAGAAAAAAGCAATATATAAGACAGCAATTACTGGATGACGTTAACAAAAAGTTAATGCAATTAGATGATAGTGTTTATAAATAATTGATGCCTCTTCCCTACCTCACTCTCAAGTGTAATTACTGAAATACTGGAGATATTTTAGTGATTTATCTATACCTTCATAAAGAATATTTCTCTCTAAAGTTACATTACAATATGTATAAATTCAAAAAAGTAATAGCAATAAAAATATTTAACAGAAGTCACAAGAGCAAATACACAAATCAGTCAGGTTCTGTAAAGTTTCATAAAAATCTCGGGAAAAAGGTTATGTACCATTTACCAATTTGCCTTCATTTTGCATCAATGAAATAAAATGAAGAACTTATTGTAAGCTTTGGCACTTGCTTTTATACCATAACTTACAACTTCTTAAACAAGAGCCACTGCCTAGCAGGGGCTATGCTCAACCATTTCTAATTTCTAAGAGTAAAACAGATCAGAGGGAGAATATTGTAGTAAAGATTACTTCTAGAAATGTTAATTTCCATGTAAAAAATTTCATATTTGACCTTGACAATCAAAGACATTCAAAAATCAAGGTCACATCTGTATTAATCATCATGTTAGGTTTGTATAAGAATTAATCAAATCCATTAATAAACAACAAAGTTATGTAAAGTTAAGCAAATTTCAATAATTTGACCTTGAAGGTAAACGTCGATTAAAGGTCAGTCATATCATGTCAGTCAGTTTTGTCAAATGTGTTCTTTTGTCCAAGTATGAATCAAATCTCTAAATAAACAAAAAATAAAATAAAATTTATGACAATTTAAGCATATTTCAAGGATTTATGGCATATTTCAAGGATCAATGGCATATTTGAATTATATTACAAGTTTAATCATAAGGGTTCTTTTGTCTAAGTATGGACATCTGTAAATGAAATCTGTAAATAAATAACAAAGTTATGACAGTCTAAGCTAAATTCAATATTTGACCATTACAGTCAAGGTCATTTAAAGGTCAAGGTCATACTTGAATTACTTAGCATGTGATTTTGTTATGAGTGTTATTTTGTCCAAGTATATGTATAAATCAAATCCATAAATAAAGAACAGCGCTATAGTTAAATGTAGCAAAATTCACTAATTTTACCTTTTATGTCAAGGTCAAATTAAGGTCAATGTTAGGTTTAAATAAATCTTATTTCCTGTCTTGTCACAAGGATTGTTGTGCACAAGTATGAAAACAATCCATTCACTAAATACAAAATTACAGCAAAGTATTGCTAAAAAAGTTATAGTAAAAATCAAGCAGAATTCATTAATGTGACTTTCAAGGTCACTTATGAGTGAAGGTCATGATCTACCTGAAGGTCTTGTCCAAAAAATTGTTGTGTCCAAGCATGAAGACAATCCATTCATAAATAACAAAGTAGTAGCCAAATATAGCAAAAAAATCAAACATTTGACTTGAAGGTCAAGGTAACTTATGAGTCAAGGTCAGTATGATCTACTTGAAAGTCATGACCAAAGGTTTGTTATGTCAAAATATAAAGAAAATCCATTTCGACATTAAAAAAAGCCCAATGTTAAAATTTCTTGACAACAACAGCAACTGCAACAGGAACGAAACTTGAAACCGGACTTGTAGCAATAGTTAAAAAAAATCGCTTATGTCGAGCTTAAAGTGGCACCTGATGCCTGACTGTCTGTTTTATAATGACATTTATTTTAAATGGCATGTTATCTATATCAAAATTTATAAACAAGAAAATGAAATTCTTGAATTGATTTATAAATCTCTTTGAATGGTTTCAATTAAATTAAAACATCTGCTGTCATTTTCAAGTATCATTATACTAACTTGTTAATAATCTGAAATTAATTTTCCATTAATTTATGTCTAAAAACATATGCATAATAGGAGAAAATAAAGACAATCAATCTTTAGCTTTAACAACATAAAATCTGTATGCATTAAAAATTATCGAAGGCTCTATGATTTTAAACTTATTTGAACCTATCATTTTATAGATATATTAACAAATAAGAACTGTGTCCTAAGGATAAGGATGGGGATAGTAAAAGCTATATAAATTTAAAAAACTTCAAAAAGAAAAAAAAGAACTTCTTCTGGTGATTTGGAGTACTTTCAGAGGCTCTGAAAAAACTACATGATATAACAAAATCCAACAGTCAAAGGACTAGAAAGGAATTAAGCATAAAAAGGACAACATACATAAATAAGTTTTCTGCTAAATAGTAATCTATATGTTTTAATCATTAATATTTACCCTTGTTCCTCTGTTTGATTGTCGTCTGCTGTGTAGATCAGTTCTTCCTCTCTTGTAGATTGTTCTAACAACATTGGTCCTGCTATTGCTATAGCAGCTGCTCCAATAGGGGCTGTTATAATAATACTGAGTACTGCTAGTGTCAGAATCTGTTTACCATAATCTTCACCCTCCACGTTGTTCATCTTACGTGCTGTATCCAATGCCACTGCTCCTATAGCAGCCTGAAAATTTAGCGGTTTATATGTACATTCATTGGCTTAAACAAATTTTATTCGTCACATAAGCATATTTACATACATGATTTTTACAATCAAAACAAGAAAAGGATTAGACTGGAAGCAACCTAATGCTTATTGAAGTCTTTTCCCAATGTACAATAAATATATGTGCAAAATAAGGCTAAAGAAATTGTCGTTTGTTGACTAAGAAGGCTGATGTGTTACAACTTGCATCAAAAAATGAATAAATAAATATAAATCAATTATTTAAAGAAAAGCAAAATAAGACTAATACTTTAACAAACTTTTGATGATTAATAATATTTCAATGATAGATACAAGAACTTTTGATTTTCTAAGAACTATAAAACTTAACATGCAGCTGTTTTAAATGAAATTACTAAATATCTTGCAATAAGATCTTTAACTGTAAGGAAAGAATAGTCTATATTTTCATTACCTGAACTGTGGCTTTAGGGAACCAGGCAATAGGTATAAACAGTCGTTCACGTATGTTGAGATCTGTTCCAAAAACTGAGAAAAATGATACCACTAATCTAATGGCAAGTCCTATACCTAGTGTGGCCAAACCCAAACCTGAAATTACCCAATATCTTATATTTCAAATTCATTTGACTTAAAGATTAAAACTTGGCGAGTTTTTTTAACAAAATACAAGTTAGTTCAACAAAATAATATATAAAGTAAAATAAGTATGATAGAAAGTCTCAATAAGAATGAAGTCAATACATTGAAAAGCATAAGACATTTTTTACAATAAATGCAGGAGAACGTTTATAATCTTTATAATAAATGAAGCCTAAATCTACAACAAACAAGCAATTATCATAGTATTGCAAGCAATCCATAAGTCCCCTACCGGTTGGAACCCCATCAGCATTCTGAAGGGCCATTGGCAATTCACTAATGTTTAAATTTTTCTCTATTTTAAGTAAAGTTGTTGGAAAAGTTCTTTAAAAGTGATCACAGGATTTTGTTTTTATGAACAGACAGACAGATGGACTGAAGGACACTCTAAAGTTAATATTTGAAACATCCCTGTTACCAAAATATAACATTTTTAAAAAGCAAAAAATTCTTAAAGAGGAGATAACTCTGGAATTAAAGATGCAATTTCATAAAAATTTTCAGCTCTTTTTGACTAATCACAAATATTGTTATATTTGCCATGTTTTAAGCCTATTTGTTGTCCAAGGCAACCAATATTTTTCAAAATAGGAAGAACAGATAAGAACATGCATTATCTCAAGACTGCCATCTACCCATATGTCAAGTTTCATAAAAAATATTTCCAGTACTTTTTGAGTTATCACTGGATTCAAGTTTATGTGTAAAATTTGCCATATTTTCAGTCTATGTGTTGCCATAGCAACAGAATTTTCAACATAAGAAGAAAAGAAAAAGACGTGTATAATCTCCAGACTGCCATCTACACATTACAAGTTTCATAAAAATATTTCTATTACTTTTTGCGTTAACACTGGATCCAGTTTATGTGTAAAAATTGCCATATTTTCAGTCTATTTGTTGCCATAGCAACCAGAATTTTCAACATAGGAAGAAAAGTAAAAAGTTGTGCATAATCTCCAGACTGCCATCTACCCATATTTCAAGTTTCATAAAATATTTCCAGTACTTTTTGCGTTATCACTGGATCCAGTTTATGTTAAATTTGCCATATTTTCAGCCTATTTGTTGCCATAGCAACCAGAATTTTCAACATAGGAAGAAAAGAAAAAGACGTGCATAATCTCCATACTGCCATCTATCCATATATCAAGTTTCATAAACATATTTTCAGTACTTTTCAAGTTATCACGGGATCCAGTTTTGTGGACGGACGGACTGACTGACGGACTGACAGACAGACGGACGGACAGACGGACGGAGGGTAAACCTAAAGTCCCCTCCGGTAAACCGGTAGGGGACTAATAACCTTTTCATAAAAAAACCCACAAAATAACACAAGAGGGCCATGATGGCCCTGAAATTGCTCACAATAGCCAACATCCATTAGAAGATGTTTCATGTTTAATATCTAAGCTCTAGCTCCTTGTTTTTTTTTAAAGCAGATTTTTTAAGGGTTTTTTTGTAAATCCACTTAGCAGTTTATGTGGAGATGCTGTTTAAAGTAACAGTTTATGGACAGACAGACTATAGACAGACGGACAATGGACGAACGCCGGACAAACTGTGATCACTAATGCTCACCTTGTCACTTTTTGTCACAGGTTATTACTTTTTGATAATGAAAATGTCAAAAGATATTCATAGAAGTTTATTCAGTTATGAAATATTACCACTAATATCATTTCACAGTAAAACTAAAAATATGTCCATATCCCCCCCCCCCCCCATATGGATTACTAAATTTATTTGCACCACCCCCAAAGTAGAGAGTGTTATAAAATACCAAACAGTAAACATTTCTACAATCCTAACAAACTCTTTACTAAGAACTGTAACACAGGAAGAAATGTCTGAGTCTTACCTACAGTTCCTACATCTATTTTTAGAACATCAATTTCTGCTCCAATCAAACCAAACAGTAATGGTTGGAAAATCATCCACAATATAGAAACTATATCTTTCATTGGCTCCTGTAAAACAAATAATATATTTAAACTTAAAAAGAAAATCTTGAATTGTTCTGAAATCTTGCTCAAGATAATTTCCACCTATACCATTTCTATTATTTATAAGACAAACTTAAAGGAAAAATGAACAGCATGTTTTTTGCTTATCACAACAGATTATTAGTCAAATAAAGAATACATACACCACCCTCTGCTGACCAATCTTCTTTCTTCCACTTGAACCCGGCAACAAAAGCAAGAGTGAGGCAACCAAGGGGACCAGCACCAGAGAAATGGAGGGCATTGCTACCAAATGTTGCCATAAGTCCCAACCCAAACAACAGGAATGATCGGTACAAAACAACATGACGCTGAAATAAACATCATAGTTCATTATATAGCCAAAACCTGTATGTATATACCTGAATGTCATAATACAGCATTTAGATAATTATACCTTTATTATTGATCTGACTCCATGCATCTTTATGATGATCAGAAAGACTATTATTAATGTATATTCTAAAAGTAATATAAAATACAATGCTTGTAAGAATGGAAAAGGTCAGTGAGGTCAAATCACTTGCCACTTATCACTGAGTTTGAATTCTGTAGGAGATTCTTTCATGCGAGAAAGCAACCCAACTGGTTTATAGTAGGTTGGTGCCTGCTTTTGCTTGAATAATCACCTATAAAGATGGGAATTCAAAAAACAAATTGTTCATTCAGAGCTCATTATTCAGTCTAAAGGTAGTTTTGCTGACACTTGAGTGGCAAGATAAGTTCCAATTAGAGATGACTATAATATAATTTAATTAAAGATAAATTTGTAAGTAAACTATTGAAAGTTAATAATACTGAGTGTGATCATTTTGCCAAAGGGCAACATTCTATTTTAATATTCTAAGTTTTTCTCAGAATATAACTTTAATCCTCCTACTACTTACACTTGCTCTATTAGGAATGTACCAGATAAGAATGCCTCCAACTATACCATAAACCACACCACTTATTGCCTCAAGTGGGCCCTTAACTATAGACAATGCAAGATCACCTGAAATATAAAAACATAATCATTACTAGGCATCGTATTTGACATAATACTACATGACAATTTAAGGGAAGGAACTCTTTATAATAATGTCACTAAATATTTTCAGGGTTATGCACCTTGATATCAATGTTTATAGTAAAGTAAAGAAGAAAATTATCATTTCAAATGAAAACAAGGGTGCCATAGTCACAAAATACGCCCGTTTACAAAAGCTTTAGATGGAGATGGGGGCATTATGGATAAGTGTTATCTAGCAAGCAAGTTTTTATTCTTGGCACTGTGTTGTTAAATGAACCTTAAAACAAATCAGTAGGGAAGATATGCACAGGATGTGTGACCTTGACCTTGGTCGCAGGGACCTGAATTTTATGCAAGGCACTCAGCCTCACAATGATGAACATTTGTGCCAAATTATATTGAAATCCCTCTATGCATGTAGAAGTTTTGCTCCAGACAAGCGTTTTTCTATGAGCTCTAACTGTGACCTTCACCTTTGACCTAGAGACTTGGTTCATGTGCAGGGTACTACGTCTCATGGTGGTGAACAATTCTATAAAGTAACATTAAAATTCCTCCATGCATGTAGAAAATATGCTCGGGACAACATCTGGATACTTAATCATCTCCAGTGACCTTGACCTTGCAAATATTAACCTAAATTAAATGTGTCACACCTGTAGTCATGATAGTTACCATTTGTGCTACAAACCATCAATAAATGATGACTTAATGGTCCCTATACACATCTTCAAATTTTTATCTGAACTTTGACCTCTATGTGTAACCTTGACTTTGGTCGCAGGGATTCTGAATTTTGCGTGCGACACTCAGCCTCACAATGGTGAACATTTGTGCCAATTATATTGAAATCCCCCTATGAATGTAGAAGTTTTGCTCCGGACAAGCGTTTTTCAATGAGCTCTAAGTGTGACCTTGACCTTTGACCTGGAGACCTGGATGATGCATGGAGCAATACATATCATGGTGGTGAACATTTCCATAAAGTATTATAAAATTCTTCCATACATGTAGGAGATATGCTCCAGACAAAATCTGGATATTTCACCATCTCTAGTGACCTTGACCTTGCATATATTGACCTAAAGTACATGTGTCACTGCCGTAGTCATGATAATGACCATTTGTGTTACAATCCCTCAATAAATGATGATTAAATCGTCCCTATACACATCTTCATATTTTTTATCTAAACTTTGACCTCTATGTGTGACCTTGACCTTGGCTGCAGGGGACCTGAATTTTGTGCGCGACACTCCGCCTCACAATGGTGAACATTTGTGCCAAGTAATATTGAAATCCCTCTATGTATGTGGAAGTTTTGCTCCGGACAAGCGTTTTTCAATGAGCTCTAAGTGTGACCTTGACCTTTGACCTAGAGACCTAGTTTCATGTGCGTGACATGGCTTCTCATAATGGTGAACATTTCTATGAAATTTCATTAAAATCCCTCCATGCTTGTAGGAGATATGCTCCGGACAAAATCTGGATATTTCATCATCTTTAGTGACCTTGACCTTGTATATATTGACCTAAATTATATGTATCACAGCCATAGTCTTAATAATGACCATTTGTGTTACAATCCCTCAATAAATGAGGACTAAATGGTCCATATACACATCTTCATATTTTTATCTGAACTTTGACCTCTATGTGTGACCTTGACCTTGGCTGCAAGGACCTGAATCTTGCGCGCGACACTCCGCCTCACAATGGTGAACATTTGTGCCAAGTAATATTGAAATCCCTCTATACATGTGGAAGTTTTGCTCCGGACAAGCATTTTTCAATGAGCTCTAAGTGTGACCTTGACCTTTGACCTAGAGACCTGGTTCATGTGCGCGACACTGCTCCTCATAGTGGTGAACACTTCTATGAAGTTTCATTAAAATCCCTCCATACATGTAGGAGATATGCTCCGGACAAAATTGGACGCCGCCCGCCCGCCCTCCCGCCAGGGGCGTTCCCATAATACGTCCCGTTTTTACAAACGGGCGTATAAAAACGTTTAAATTATATTTCATGACATAATATCTTAATAAAGCTAACAAGAAAAGTATTGTTATGATATTGCAACTCTATAAATTTAATCTTCGTCATTGAAGTAATTTTACAAATTTATAAAAACACACCACCAAAATAGTGTTTATATTATTTATAAGCATGAGTAAGTAAATCTGCACTTAAGTACAATACAATATGTAACAGTGTTTAGTATATATATATCTGAGATTATCTTGAGATATTAAAATCTTATCCAATGAAAAATATTGTTCTACATTCTTCGACATTAATATTTTCATGAATTACATAAAAGATAAGTTAATAAGTAGCTGTTAAACTTTAACCCAGAACATATTTGCAATGTTTGTCTTCTAATAAGTTCAAATACTGTATATGACTCAATAAATAATCTAACAGAGAATGTTTTGGCTTTCTTACAAAGTTCGACAAAGTTTAAACTTTGCTGGGTAATTTCTCTTGACTTATAGCCAAACTTTGTTTACCAACTTTTCAATACAATACAAAAATCAATACATCTGTAAACATATTATGTGATACTAACATCAGACACTGCCATGTGATATTTAAACTGTTCAATAAAATATAACAATATTAAATGAGTCAGCAAAATTAAATCATTTGATACCATTGGGATATCTTAGTTTAATCATTGAATTAGTTCAATAAGTTTGCAAACATTAAAATAGATATTTGTCATGTTTTTTGTAATTTGTTTACCATAAATAAATCAGAAAATTATAGGTTTAAACTTAATTTGCAGTTTGAGTGAAAAGCAACAATGACTGTGCAGTAAAAATAAGATATAACTGTTTAACAAGACAAGTTCGATGAGTGTAGAGAAATATACATGTATAAACAGTCATATTGTGTTTAAGCTGAGTAACAACAGTTCTTGAATATATAAACAAAGCATTTACTTGAAGATATGAACATTTTATTTACATTACCAATATATTATAATAATGTATTAAGTAGACCATTCATCAACAACAAATGAAATTGGCAAACTTTCAAAAATTCCTATTTTAATGCATTTGTAACTATTCCAACTTCAAAAACTTTCAATATTAATTAATATCTATTTGGAAAGAGATGTCCTGCTATCTATCATAATGACCTTACATAAGAAGATACAAAAATGGCATATTCTTCTAAATTTTAACATAATTATGATAGATTTATTATCTGACTACAGAAAACACCAGCACCTACCAGTAGAGAATGCAATGCCCAGTGATACACCAAATCCTGTGATAGCTAACACATCATCAACACTAGCTGCAGCTATAACAAGTGTTGGTATACCCTTGTCTATACCATAACCTCTATCTGACAAACCTAATAGTGATGGTACCACAACAGCAGGCGATACTGCTGCTAATACAAACCTAGAAATATACATTTTCATAGTTACACATCATTTCTAATATACACTTCAATAATACATTGACATATCAACATCAAGTTTAAATATAACAATAACATTCATTTCAAGTTTCATGCATAAATTTTTGTAGTTTTAAATGATAATCATAGTCACTATTATATTGTCAAACTTCAAAAATTACTAGTTTACAAGGTCATTAGATGACAATACTGACATACATGTATTATGTACTTTACTTTTTAATTCAGTTTTAGTTCAGTTACCGAAATAAGAAAACTTTCAGTTCAAACTGGTGTAATAAAGATACAAGGAACAATACTGGTAATACAACTTAAAAGTTAAACATTTTATTTGAGTTCACTTACCCAAGCATTATACCCCATATCCATGGAAACCCAAGTAGAAAATGGGCAGCGACCGCCTCAGCCAGGCACTCGGCCAAGCATGGAGAGAAAGCCAACCTGAGAACTGCCCATGACAACTTCATTAATGCCTGTGGATCCAAACCAAGACCTGCCCTTATCAGTATCACGGTTAATGCTATCTGTCTGTAAATAACAATAATATATTACTGAGATATCACTAACAGCTCATTTCATTGCATTACAGGTTATAATTAATAAGTCATTATATAATTATACATTCAAATCTTCATGTTATAGTATCAATGTTTCAGGTTAAATTGTTTGATGTTTGACATAAAGGATGTGTAATGAGAAATTATGTTTGCTTTGCTTGTATTTAAGCCACAGACTTGCGGCATTTTTTTTCATTTTGTCACAAATATGTTTTTTATTTTCATTTTGTCATAGATTTGCTTTTTTTTTCATTTTGTCACATATTTGCTTCTCGTTTTTACTTTGCCACGGATTTGCATTTTGTTTTCATTTTTTCACTGATTTGCATTTCATTTTTATTAGGCAACAGATTTGCATTTTGTTTTGAATGTTAATTATTCAAATGTCAAAATAATTATCATAAAATTAACCACAGCTATAAAGAAAAGAACCACATGACTTAACCCTAATTTTAATATTTCCTTGACAGGATTACAGCTTATTAAGTGCATATGTAATAAATTAACATTTTACATCTAATGCATTGCATCCTAAATATGTCATAAGTCTTTAAATGCACAAGGAGCACAAGGCCAAACAAACATAAGCTGCATTTTTTAACAACTAATAATTTATGTTATGAAAGTATATTTAATCTATTGAGAGTTCAACAGATGCATTTACAATGTTTTTAAAAGTCTTACATGGTGCATTTCCTAAGTAAACAGATTTTAATTTTCTTTTCTTACACTTCCACAGGTATGGGAAAACTTTACTTTGTGGGATGTTAAGATTATTCAGATTAGTTTGATACAATATTATGATGTTTCTCTCCAGCTGACATTAATCTGTTTGTACATGAGATACAGGATAAGTGTTACCTTAATGCTGCAGACCAAGATTTATCCAAGTTTTCACCAACAATGCTGATACCAGGTACATTACGTAACAAACAACCAATGATCAACATTCCTGAAATATCGCCATAGTAACACTTAAAAATATCACCTGATATCAATTAGAATTTTAACAACTAAGAAAACATTGTAATTTTCTGCTAATATCTAAATAGACATTGAAAGAGACAAATTAAGGATAAAACAAACATACATTTTTACTTGTAAATCTTTCATATACAATTGACCAACAATAAGCAACTATATAAAGTTACTACATGTATATAAAATGTTTAGGTGGCCGTGTGCCATATGTGGTAATTAGTGCGGACTAGTAATTAAAGGATCACTATCAGCATAGGTCCAAACCAAGTTTACTTGAGAAAGAAACCTTTCACTCATTGTTCAGTACTGGTTGGTTCAAAAAATGGTTTCAAGAGAGTGTTAATAAGCTTATAGCTTCCTACACAAACTATAACAAATAAAGCCTTTCAAATGAACTTACCTAATAAAGGTGGTAGCTTCACGTAAACAACCAGGTATCCTCCTACGACACAAGCAAAGAACATGATAACAAGAGAGAAGAAATTTCCACCAGGTAGTCCCCCTGATCCTGTCAATGACATCATTACAGCCCAGGACACAAAGAACATCACTACAAACATAATATACTTTGCAATCCTTCCATGTGGCGGACACATAAAGGTGTAACAAAATTTCTCTCCAAGTGTTGCTTCATGTGGCAGGGGATTATATTTTGTTCTAACAGGTTTTGTACAACTATGGCAGAAAGCACGAAGGGCAAGACATTTTTTTGACTGTTCTGATGTTTCTGCTGTTGTCCCATTGGCAGTGTTGTTCTGTTCAGATAATGATCCATCAGCCATCATCTTTAACTCAACATCTAGATCTGTCTCTGGTGTCGACATACTTCACACCTGTAAATAAAACACATACTTGTGAACTAAGATTTACCCTATGTTTCAAAACTTACTTCATTTTATGTACATGTACACATAAAACAACAACAACATTAAACAATGATTACCACCATTAGATGCATTAATGATTATACCACACAGAACAGATTAGTGAAATTTCAAGTGAAATAACAAATAAGATATGTATTTTTTCACAGAAGTGTCCTCTGTTATACAGATATATTAGTGTCCCAAATTCTGCAAAAAAAGATTTGACAAGGCTGCTGTAAATACAGCTAATGAATACTGGGTGACAAAAACTTTCAAATGCAGAAAGCAATTTGTTAGAGGTCAGCACAGATATGGGTGGTTATCAAATTTTTCAACAAGTGTTATTATTCAAAGCCAACAATTCAATTTGGAAGACAGTTTCATTTTAAACATAACCAAAAATCTGAAAACTTTAAAAATAGGTCACCTATTTTCAAACATAGGATAATGTTCTACACAATAAATGAAAAGAAAAGAAATAAGCTCCATATGATAATCTTTAATGGTGTGGTAAGGAAATTAAAGAGCAGTATCAATAAGTAAACACAGAGATTACTGAACTGTTAGAACATCCAATATAATGCTGTTTATTTGAGGTCATGAACAAGGTCATTACCCATAAACCTATTATACTACTACTTCAATCTATAGATTGTGAAAATTCTACTCTTTAAATCAGTAAACATTTTTATAAATGTGTCTACTTTTCATACATTAAAAATAAAACTGATAGCATAGAATATATAACATAAACACTAACATTACATTATGATCAATAATTACACACATTTCAAAATCTTCAACAAAAATTAAATAATATATTTTTTAAATAAATACCAAACCTTGTCACATACTTATAGCAAAAACTTCTATTACAAGTATTTCCTTTCTAAAATAAAATCACAGATAACATAAGTAACAGATATAAAACGTTTGTTTGTTATACCTTCAACGTCCAACTATAGAAGAGATATGTCTGGTTAACTTAGTGACTGATGATAGCGTCACAAATACGTAAAACTATGTCTTAAACTATGTCTTATTAACCATCAATTAAACATAAAACGACTTCTATATACTCATTTAACAATAATCACTTCCCACTAACTGACACGAAATGACCAACATGGTCCAATCAATGGATACCACATTGTCATTTTGCCCTAGAGGCATCTTAACATATTTTTTGAGATGCTGGGGCAAATATTTGTCTTTGTTGTAAATATAGTAATAAAACATTGTTGACAAGCAAAAACAATAAAGCTTTCATCAACCTTGAAAATAATGACAATTGTAATGTTGTAAATTGAAATGTAAAACATGGAGAGAGCATGGTAAACTTTGGTACTGAACATATACTGATATTAATGATGTTACATGACAAACTGGAAACACTGAACATTTTCAAGGTTTTTTAAATCTAATACAAGAAATAACATCATATTATAATTTTGAAATTGTTTGGAAAACAAAGGTTTATAAAACAATTTGGTCTATACATAAAATTATAGAAATTATATGTGCTTATGTATTCCCCAAGCATATCATTTATAACTATTGGTACATCTTTTATCAAATGATGTGTCAGTAATATAACATATTTTGGCTTAATTTAAGGAATCTGTCTTCATAATAATAAAAATACATCATTTAAAATGATAGCTTACAGTCTCACTATTCAGAAGATGTACATTTAGACTTTGGTTTGCTTAAAAAACTTGAAATACAGCAAAGACTTATAGTACTTCTCCATGTTTATAATGGAAAACCTTCATTTTGAATAATGTAGTTTAATATCTACATAAAATAATATATTCCCTTTAAAACTACATAGATGAATTTTAATGTCTTTTTGCTTTTAAATCATTTATAAGTATATGCATAGTATGTGACATGTAATATTTAGACAATTTTTTTTTTCCTGAAAGTAATAAAGCAATTTATTATATACTTATAAATGAAATATTGACAGAGAAATATTGATGAAATAAAATGCATATTTTCATTTTCCGTATTTTCACTGTAAAAATTTATTTTTCACTGCAGTGAAACATATTTTCCGTATTTTCACTGGTGTCTCGCCGGACTACTTTCTTTTAAATTCTGCCAGTACACAAAATTTAAGGGAAAGTCTTTCAAATTTTATCGCAAAAAAAGAGAAAATTGTATATAATAAACAGATAATTCAAGTTTTTTCTATAAATACATGATTTATTTTCATCTTGTGGCATGAAAATTACCATATTTCACTCGTGGCTACTGCCACTCATGAAATATTTATTTTCATACCACTCGATGAAAATAAATCATGTATTTATAGAAAAAACTTGAATATCCTCTATATACTCATGAAAATAAAAATCATATTGAGAGACAATAATTTGTTATATTTAAAAAAAAAACACAGCAACAAAAAATTAATACAATTTATTGTAGCAATATATTGAAGTTTTTCTTAATGAAAAATTTTGCTACAAAAGACAACACTTTTTTATTTTAGTTTTATAAAATAAAATATGAGCAGGAGATAGAAGTTAAACAAGTTTGTATTTAGTGTTATTGATGAGCCTGAGTTGACAGAAAGAAGTCAACACCTATCAATCACCATTGTTATCTCTATATCTCACTTTATAACAAAATAATCAGACCATCTCAAACCTTATACTACTGTCATAATATTGTCATAATGTAAAACAATTAACTGCACAGTCAGTGCTTTTTTCAGAGTATAATTGTTTACTGTGAATAAACATAAATATAAGTTTTATAGTATGATTATAGACAGTAATTCATGAACTAAAGCTGACTTTAAACTACAGTAGTTTCTTTTTTTTCTTCTTTTTTTCTTTCTTTTTTTTTGGACTGGGCCATATATAGCATTCTTTGATACAATTGATGATAAACTTGTTTAAACTCTTTATTTAGCTTTTGGCTGAGTAATTTGGTCAGAATCTATGAAGTGGTTAGGAAGAGATATTTGTATAGAAATTAATTGTGTATTTATACATTTATTCACCACTTATAGCAGATGATTATTCATTTTTGTTATACATTTATTCACTTATAGCAGATGATTATTCATTTTGTCAATATTTTTTTCCTAGTAATCATATCTATGCTATTATGTTGTTTTTCTAAAACAAGAAATGCACATTTATAAAATAATTCAATGCATGAACCTAAATAAGATGAAGTATTTTCAATGCATACCATTTCTGTTCCGTTAGATAGATACATAAAACATTTAATTAACAAAGATACCAAAACATACATTTAATCTAATTATTTCTTAAAATTAATTATTTATTTATGTATGATGATAATCTTTTTCAGCAAAAACAAAGATTTTAATCATATCTAACCATATCATTCTTGAAGAACAATGGTGCCATGATGATTATTGAAGTTGGGCAAATCTTCACCTAACACTGGGAGGGGGGGAGATCGTTATCATTTTAATATTGATTACCCAACAGTTATAAAAATCAATTTCTGTTCCGTTAGATAGATACATAAAACATTTAATTAACAAAGATACCAAAACATACATTTAATCTCTTAAAATTTCTTAAAATTAATTATTTATTTATGTATGTTTTAAATTATTATTTTGATATGGGATGAATTGTCAGTAAGCTGAGGCTAATTGTCACTAAAGTGGGTTGAGTCGTTATGGGGCGTATCATCAGTGGGGGAATTGTTATCAATTTGTCTACTTTTGCCAAAGTATCAATCAAATCTGTAAAAGAATAACAACAAGGAACATCGCAATGCGATGCAACCAGGTTTTCAGCAAAATATTTCACAGAAGCTTTGTCATGAAGGGGCATTTTTTTAATTGAATTTTTAGGAGGAATTATGGCTTTTTTAATATTCCTCAAACAAAAATGATTGAGAAATTTTATTTTGTCTATTCGCCTTTTTTCCCCAAATGTTTTAGAAAGGTAAACAGTACTTTATTTTTGCTTAATTTTTGAAGTTGCACACTGTAGAAATTGTTCACTATTTATTCTGTATAAGGAAAAAATATACAAAGGGCCATAATTCGGTCAAATATTATCCAATCACAAAACCCCGGCAATATGTGCCAGGCACTTGATAACAAAGCTTCTAAGAAAGTTTGGTCAAAATCTGTTGAGAAATGTAGGAGGAGTTGCGCACAGAAGAAATTGTTCACTATATATTCTATATAAGGAAAAAAAACAAAGGGCCATAATTAGGTCAAATATATACCAATTGCAAAACCCTGGCAATATGTGTCAGGGCACTTGATGACAAAGCTTCTGCGAAAGTTTGGTCAAAATCCGTTGAGAAATGTAGGAGGAGTTGCGCACAGAAGAAATTGTTCACTATATATTCTGTATAAGGAAAAAAAAAAGGGCCATAATTAGGTCAAATATATACCAATTGCAAAACGCTGGCAATATGTGTCAGGGCACTTGATGACAAAGCTTCTGTGAAAGTTTGGTCAAAATTCGTTGAGAAATGTAGGAGGAGTTGCGCACAAAAGAAATTGTTCACTATATATTTTATATAAGGAAAAAAAACAAAGGGCCATAATTAGGTCAAATATTATCTAATCGCAAAACCCAGACAATATGCGCCAGGGCACTTGATGACAAAGCTTCTGTGAAAGTTTGGTCAAAATCCGTTGAGAAATGTAGGAGGAGTTGCGCACAGAAGAAATTGTTTACGCCCGCCCGCCCGCCCGTCCGCCCATCCGCCCGCCCGCCCGCCCGCCCGCCGACATACCTCAATCTAATAACCAGTTTTTTCCTTCGGAAAACCTGGTTAAAAATATGATAATTAAACAAAATTTTAATAGTTTGAAATAATTCAACATATCGGTTTTTTACATATGTGTTCCTTTGTCTAAGAATAAATCAAATTTGTTAATAAGTAACAGTTCTGACAGTCTAAGCAAATTTCAATAATTTGACCTTGATAGTCCGGGTCAAATAAAGGTC